GGCTCGACGGCCACCCGGCACCGTGCCGCCCGGTGCGGACCCATCCGGCACTCGGGAAACGGCACACGGACCACCAAACAACCGAGACCCCCGCCGCGGCGCATGCGCGGTAGGCGCAGCCCGAGAGGGCCAGCGCGCACGCGCCCGGGCCCGTCCATATTGCGCCAACCCCCTTGGCCAAGGCGCCGATGGTTCCGCCTACGGCCGGGGCGGGGCCAGGGCGCGGCGCGAAAATCAGCGGGAAAAGCGGCTCCACTTCCGCCTGTGGTCCTGCAGTCGTGGTCCTGCAGCCGCGGTCCCGCAGCCCCGGTCCCGCCGCTCCCGCCATGGCGCAGTGCCGCCTCACCGACTTCTTCGCGCGCCGCCGTCCTGGGCTCCGGGCCAAGCCGACGCGCACCAAGCCGGCCTGGCGCACCCCGAGTCCCGCCAAGCCCGCGCCCCGCGCCCCGGCCCCCGGCCCCGGCAGCAGCCGCAAGCGCGCCCGCTCGCCCGCCGAGCCCACGCGCGCCGAGCCTGCACCGCCCGCGCGCAGGAGGCTGCGGCTGCCGGCCAACGCGGTGAGGGCGCGGAGGGGAGGAGGAAACTGAGGCCTGGGAGGGAGACAGATGGGAGGGAACCGGTGGAGCCGTGAGCCGGCCCGGGTGGGGCGGGGGCGGGGCTGCTGGAGAGACCTGCCCTGGAGGAGGGCACCGACCCGGGTGGAACCCAGGCCACCCGCGGGAGGAGGGGCTAGGGCCAGCTCACGCGCACCTGGCGGGCGGGGTCCCGTAATCTCGCGGGGCCTCCCTTCCAGAGGACTTCCACTGACGGGGAGCGGGGGGGGGGGGGGCCTGATCTGACACACGCTGGGGGAGGGCCAGAGCCCAGCGGACTGGTAAACGCCAGGTTCGTCTGCAAGAGTGGGCGAGGGGTCAGGCCTTCTGCGAGATGTTGCACCCCGGAGTCTTATGGTTTCATCACCTCTGGGGTCCTTCCCACCAGGTCTCTGGCCCTAGTTCTCCAGCTGCGGCTGGCTCCCCAGAGCACTCTTCTCCCCAAAGCAAGAAGACAAAGAAGGCCCCCCTCTCAGCCAGCCAGCGACCTTGCCTGGCAGCCCAGGAGGACGAGGACAAGGTGAGGCTGGACTGAGGGCAGGGGAGGTGGACTGGCCCGGGGTGACAGGCGGGCTGACAGCACTCTGTGTCCGCAGGTCCCTTCCAAAGTCACTCTGTCTGAGCTCACGTCGTGCCTGCAGCGGGCACAGGAGCTGGGGGCACGGGTCCAGGAGCTGAAGGCAAGTGCACAGAAGAATGCCGGGGAACCCAGCGCGCCGGAGGACGAGGGGCACCCAGCCGGGCTGTGGTGAGTCTAGGGAGGGCGGCTGGGCACCCAGGAAGGGGTGGCCTGGTGGGAGGCCTGGCGGGGCCGGGCTGTGGTGGTTTGGGTCAGGGAGGGCCGCGTCCTCCAAGGGGTCAGCGCAGTGCAATTGTGTCGGCCTCCGTCTGTGAGAGGGCCAGCTCCTGCGAACTGCAGACCACCTGGACAGCCAGCAGTTCCCGGGACCTGCTGCCTGGCGCCGGGTCTGTCCTACCAGGTCACGTAGTTATCATATGCTTCTTACAGACAAGGAAGCCAGGGCTCGGATGGTCGGGGACCGCCCTGGGGGACAGCTGGCTTTGAGGCCAGGCTTTGGTCTCTGTCCCTGGTAGTGCTCGTGATCGGAGACAGTGGGCGTGTAGGGGCTTTGTAAACTGGTGCGCAGTGCGCCCTGGGGGTGGAACCCCAGGCTCTGGGGTCTTCCCCCACCACCGCTTTGCCTGCCGTTGGGTGCTGGAGGGGGTGGGTGTGGTGCTTCTCTCACGTCCCCGCTCCCTCCCTGGCAGTGGTGAGCAGATGCCTGCCTACCAGCGCTTCCACGCCCTGGCCCAGCCGGGGCCCCCGGGCCTTGTGCTGCCCTACAAGTACCAGGTGCTGGCCGAGATGTTCCGCAGCATGGACACCATCGTGAGCATGCTCTTCAACCGCTCTGAGACTGTGACCTTCACTAAGGTCAAGCAGGGCGTCCAGGACATGATGCACAAGTGAGCGGGGGTTGGGGGGTCAGGGCCTCGTCCTGCCCTTGGAGTCTGTGCGCCCTCCGACCCCAGCTCTCTGACCCCCTGCACCCTCGTCCTGTAGGCGCTTTGAGGAGCGCAACGTGGGCCAGATCAAAACCGTGTACCCTGACTCCTACCGCTTCCGCCAGGAGCACCACATCCCCACCTTCAAGGATGGCGTCAGGAGGTCTGATTACCAGCTCACCATCGAGCCGCTGCTGGACCAGCGTGAGTGTGTTGGGCCTCGGCTTCTTGCCGAGGACGCTGCACTGTTTCAGCGTGGGTGTAAGGCCTCAGGCACTGAGCCTTGTCTGAGACCCGTGGGGGTGGGCTGGGTGACTGGGTAGGCTCGGCCCTGGGGCTCAGGCCTGGACTCTCCCCACAGAGGCTGGCAGTGCGGCCCCCCGGCTCACGGCGTCGCACCTGTTGCAGCGGCGCCAGGTCTTCACCCAGAAGCTGGTAGCCCGAGTCCGGGAGCATCACAGGGTGAGTGGGTCCCCCGGCTCAGGTCCTCACGTTGTCCCTGCTGTCGCGGCCCCATCTGCCGCCGCAGGAAATGGGCTTCTCCCGAGGCTGAATTCTAGAGTTCTCTTAACCACTGTCCACGGCTGTCTTCTACACGTGGGCAGGTGCGGGGCTGGGCGGGGACCCTGGCCCTGAGCAGACAAGCAGGGAGCTCGAGGCTGGTAGCCTCTGGCCCCGGGAAGCTTGGGGAGAGTCCAGTGGGTGCTGCTGGGTGCTCTATGCTGTACCCTCAGCCCAGCTGAGCACCTGGGGCTCAGAGAAGTGAAGTAACTTGCCCGAGGTTGCCCAGCTGGGACAGGAACCCGGACAGCTCTCTACACCCACAGGCAGATGTGCCCAGGGTCAGCTGGTGCCCCCCCTTCTCACACAGGCCTTCCTGGCCTCCCTGAACCCCCCCATGGAGGTGCCCGAGGACCAGCTGACACGCTGGCACCCCCGCTTCAATGTGGACGAAGTGCCTGACGTCGAGCCAGCCGAGCTGCCCCAGCCGCCCACCGTGGAGAAGCTGGCCTCCGCCCAGGAGGTGCTGGCCCGTGCCCGCAGCCTGATGTCACCCAGGGTAAGGCTGGTGCGGGGCAGCCTGACCCCCATGTTGGTGCCTGACAGGCTCCACCCTTGGCCGTGGGCCTCAGGGTAGCTGGACCTGCTCTCCCCACAAGCGGAGCACCGCCCACCAGCAGGCTCTGCCCTGGGGCGGTGAGCACAGGCCCTCGAGGTGCCCGGGTGACCCTGGGCCAGACAAAGGGCTCCTGGGGGGGTCCACACAGGCGGGGTGTGAGGAGCCTCCCCTGTGGCTGAACCGGGGGGAGGCGTCTCCTGACCTCTCCCCTCTGACCTGCTTCAGATGCAGAAGGCTCTGAGTGACCTGGCCCAGCGCACGGCCCAGCCTAGCAGCCCCCGGCCCCCCAGCCCGGCACCGCCAGCCCCCCCGCCGGCCGCCTCGCCTGCCGCTCTGAAGGGGGTGTCCCAGGCCCTGCTGGAGCGGGTGAGTGTTCGGCGTCCCCGCGGGGTGGTGGTGGGGGTGAGGCAGACGTCCCCTGACCGTCCATGCCCGCGGCAGGTCCGGGCCAAGGAGGCGCAGAAGCAGCTGGCGCAGATGATGCGGCGCCCGGAGCAGGAGCTGCGGCTGCAGCGGCTCGAGCGGCTGCCCGAGCTGGCCCGCGTGCTGCGCAGCATCTTCGTGTTGGAGCGCAAGCCAGCGCTTACCATGGAGGTGGCCTGCGCCAGGATGGTGGGCAGCTACCGCGCAGCCATGAGCCCCGGTACGTGCAGGGCCCTCCCCAGGTCCCAGGTGAGGGCGGGCCCCGTACCCTTGGGCTCACCTGAGGTTGTCTGGCCCCCTTGCCTCCTGCAGCCTTGAGGGGCTGTTCCCACCCTATCGACCCAACCCAGCCTTGTTTCCCCTGCGGTCCCTCCATCGGCCCCCAGGCCCCATAGGACTTGCCTGTTGCCTCCAAGGTCTCTGGTCCCTCAGCTGCGGGGCGCCTCCCATTGTGGGGTTTCCACGGGAGGGTCAGCTCCTTGGCAAGGCTGTGAGGTCACTACTGGAGTCCTTCCCAATCTTGTCCTGGGAGGCCTCATAGGGCCCTGACCCCCAGCCTCACGTGCCCCCTCTCTCCGCAGGGGAGATGGAGAAGCACGTGCAGCTCCTCTCTGAGCTGCTGCCCAACTGGCTCAGCCTCCACCGCATCCGCACTGACACCTACGTCAAGCTGGACAAGGCCGCTGACCTGGCAGGTGTCACGGCACAGCTGGCCCGCCTTGCCCGTGCTGAGGAGGCGCTGTGAGCCCGGCGGACAGGTGCCAACACCGCCGGGCCGCCGGGCCTGTGTCTGTCTTACGCTAGGAACACGACGCACTTTGCTTTCCCTGTCCCGAGTCCCTGTGAGGGTCAGGGCTGTGGCTGCTGGGCCGAGGGCTTCTGGCCAGTGTGGTGGAGGCCCCTCTCGTACACAGGGTGCAGGGAGGGTAGTGTGGCTGGCAGCTAACCCTCCCAGGTGTCCGCGTGGGATCCTGAGGTGGTCCTGGAGTATCTGGGTGGGCTGGGTGTCACACAGGGCCCTCGTGAGAGGCAGGCAGGCACACACTGAATCTGAGATTGGGATGTCCGGGGCCGAGAGCCAGGGAACAGGCCCCCCCTGGAGCCCACAGAAGGAACCAGCCCTGCCTACCCACACCCTGGTGTTTGTACTTGGCCTCCAGAACTGTAAGATAAACTTGTTTCAAATCCACACGCGTGTGATGAGTTACAGCAGCAGGGGAAGCCAGGGTGGGCTGCCCGTGTGTGCATACGGCGGCTCACAGGGCTCGAGAACCACCAAACGCTAATGTCAGAAAGCGCCCAGCCTGCCGGGTGGGCCCCTGCACCTTCCCACACTGACGCTGGGGAGGAGACTCCGCTCTAGAAAGTCAGCTGTTTATTTTCATTCTCATTCCACTGTCAGTGAGCCTGCAGCTCCAGGCCTTGGGGCTTCCAGAAGCCCCAGCAGGCCCCCCAGGCAGCAGCCCCGCGCCCAAGTCCCGCCCCGCCCTGCCCCAACGGCTGATCCTCTTCTCTTCCAGTTGGTGGGGGGCTGGGGCCAGGGTCACTCGTACTGCAGGAGAGAGAAGAAGGGCACAGTCCCCAGCTTCTCCCTGCCCTTCAGAGAGGTCAGCTCCACCAGGCTCACGCACTCCAGCACCTGGGCCTGCAGCTGGGCCAGCAGCTCACAGGCTGCACGCATGGTTCCTGGGGACGGAGGGACGGAGAGGTGGTGTGGAGACAGGCCCTGAGAAGCTAGAGTGCTGAGACCCATTGCCCACCCCCCCAGACCCTGAGGCCAGGCCCTCACCACCGGTGGCCAGCAGGTCATCTACCACCACCACCTTCTGCCCTGGCTCCAGGGCGTCCCTCTGGATCTCCAGCTCAGCCTGCAGAAGCAAGCGGGCACGTGACCTACCAGCTTCCCCAAAAGGGCCTTAGTGTGCAGAGCTGGGGAACTGACAAGGGGCCACCCCCTGGGCCCCAGTTCCAACCCACCCTGTCTCCTGGCTCTGTCAGCCTGGCCCAGCTTCTCAGTCTGAGTTCCCATGTCCACTCCAACCAACCACAGCAGCTCCACTGGAGTCCACGACTCTCCTTTTGGGAATGGAGGGTCCACAGAGGCAGCCCCCAGGCTTCTCACCTTCCCGTATTCCAGTGTGTATGAGGCACACACAGTGGGGCCTGGCAGCTTCCCTCGCTTCCGGATGAGAATGCAGCCCAAGCCCAGCTCCTGGGCCAGGGAGGGACCAAACAGGAAGCCACGGGAGTCTAGGCCTGTCGGCGAGACCTGGGGTGTTGGGGGGCAGCCGCGTGGTATGGTATCATTGGGGTCCCCATGGGTTAGGGCTGAACAGTGACAAGTAGTCATCACGACACAGGACACACAGCCTTGCTGCCTCCAGATGAAAGACCAGTGACATCCAGCCACTCTGGGAATGTTGACAGCTCACCTACCACACAGAGACTGCTAGGTGCTAGAGAGGCCAGGAGCCACTCCGTACGCGGCGGTGTAAATAGCTGTGTGGGCTCGGGTAAGTCACCTGACCTCTCTCCAAAGCTCAGCTGCTCACCAGTGGCTGGTGGTACCTGAAACGCCCTTAGCAGACGGTGCAGCGTCTGCCCCAGGAGCTTCTAGTCCAGCAGGAGAGGCAGTCCACCTCCGGGGGCGGACTGAGCTGTGATGGGGGAACTCAAGGGCCTCTTCCCCACGTGCGAGTGTGGTTAGGGAGGAAGAGCTTCTGAAGGGAAGAATCCTCTGCAGGACTCAACCAGTTGGAGCCCTCCAGCCTCCAGGGCAGTGCTGTGGCCCCTCAGGGTATCCAAGAACCAGGGAGTATGGGGGGGGGGGGCTTCTCAAAGAGAAACAGGACCTGCGCCAGGATCTTCCACGATCTCCTGGGTTTTCCTAAAACCCACCACTGGGTACAGGACCTGGCACACGGCAGGCGCTCAATACCCGCCGGTAAAACAAGAAAGCATGCTTGGCCCCGTGGATTCTGGTCAGACACCCCCACCTGTCGTGCCTGCCCTCAGCCCCGCCGCCGGCACCCACCCATCAGAGGCGTTCCCCGGCCGCTGGAGGGGCCTGTCGCCCCTCTCACGGCTGCAAAGTCGAGATGGGGCAGCGGGTCTGTTCTTACAACCCAAGCACCGTTGGGGCGTCCGGCGGGTCCCCTAAAAGACCCCCAAAGCCACCCTGCCCGGGGTAAAGGACTCCCGACACTGCGCCCTCATGGCAGACTCGAGCAGCACCAGGGAGAGTCCGGGGACCCGGCGGAGCCCTGACGCGCCACTTGCCCGCGATGTAGTCGATCCTGCCGCCGTGGGCCTTTTTCAGGTGATTAGCCAGGAGGCTGATGGAGGCGCGGAAGGAGTCGGGGTCCTTCAGGACGGGTGAAATGTCCCTGGCACGCAAGGACAAGCCTGGTGACTCTCGGGCCCACGCAGAGCCCACCGCGCCCCGACATCCGGGGCCGCGCGGCCCGGTCCGTCCCTCCGTCCCTCCGCCCGCGCGCCCCACGTGGCCCGGCTGCCCGTACCTGAACAGCACGCCGGGGACGGGGAAGTCGGGGAAGCTGCGGATCCGCCGCGCCACCAGCTGCAGCTCGGAATCCGCCATCTCAGCATCCGCGCGTCTCAAGGGCAAGAGCCGGTTAGTAGGCTCCGCGCCTGCGCGGGGTGGGGGAGGAGCCCCCCCAGGGGGCGGGGCCGGGAGCCCAAGGCGGCTCCGCGCCAGCGTGGAAAGGGTCTGGGTTCGGGTGGGCGGGGCCCACCATCTCCCGTAGGAGGTACCGTATTTCATCGAATCTGAAGTGCGGTCGGTCTTAAGATACGTGCTTATTTCTTGTGCCCCGAACACTAGCGTCCCCGCCTCAAGGACGTTCGCGCGGGGCCCAGGTGCGAGTCAGGGTTGATGGAGTACGGCGTCTACGCAGCCCCGGCCGGACTGTCGGGGAAATCTTCGCCCGGTTCGGCCGAGCCGAGAGCGCCCGCAGGTCTTCGGCGCAGCTGTGGCCGGGACCCCAGGCCTCGGGCGGCGCGCACTGCCTCGCCCGCTCTTCTTCCCTCCCCGGCGGGTCTCGGCTGTGCTCCTGCAGCGCGGTGCGAGGGGGCCAGCGCGCGCACGGGGCGCACGGCGCACACACACAGCCTGGCCCTTTCCCCAGGAGCGCGCCAGTGCCTGAGGACCGGAGCAAAGAGGGATTCCGAGCAGGAGTGCGGTGCAGCGGCCCGGAAGGGAGCAGTTCAGAGAACCAACGGCCGGGGGCGGGGCGAGCCAGAGGCGGAAGCCCAGGCGTTTGTTGCCTGGCTCCCCCGGGGCCTGCTGGGGGAGGGCAGCGGAGGAGGGAGTGATGGAATGCTTGGCCTGGCCCACTCCAGCCCCCACCGTGGTACCCAGGGGGGACAAATTCCCCCAAATAGAATTTCATTTAAAAACAAAAGGCTAAAATGCCTGTTACTTTATTCTAAACCTGTTCTCTTCATAATTTCCCAAGTCTTACAACAGTACAGAGTTGGTGTGACAGTCTGCAGAGTGGAAACTCCACACAATGGGAACGACCCACGAGCTTAAGGGGAAGTCCCTGGAGGCCGTTCACAGTCCTGCTCAGGCTCTCCTGATTTCGCTGGTGAATGGGCTCGTCCTCAAGCGCTGCCACCCTGGGCCCGAGGACGGGAGTGCTGAAGCACAGGCGGGCCCCACAGTGTGCTGGGGTTGGGAGTCCTGATCTCCAGGGACGCTGGTGGCTTCAGCTGTCCGCGCTGGACTGGGGAGGCCTCGGCTGTCGAGGCTCCTCCGGGACAGGGAGGCCCTTGGCCTCCTCCTCCTTCATGTTCACACCCCTCGACCATGGTGGGGGCAGTACGCGGGGGAGGGGCGCTGGGGTATCCCCTGTGCACAGCGCCAAGGGGCAACACAGGATTGGCACGGCCGCCCTTGACACCAGGGCTGAAGTCCTGAGGGGACTGCAGGGGCAGCCACGGCGAGTCAGGCCCCTGGGTCCTGGGCAGAGCTCAGGCCCTGGAAGAGGCAGCTGGGAGGTAGCTGGAGCAGAGCGGAGGACATGAGGCAGGCAGCCTCCGGTTCAGGGGCTGATGTGAGCCTGTGGCTGTAGAGTCAGGCCCGGTGGGCTGGGAGCTGACTCCAGGGCTGGGCTGGTAGTCTCGCGGGTCCTGCTGCTGGCTACAGGTGCCGTCCGTCTGGCAGCAGTCAGGGCAGAGGGAGTGGGGGCTCTTGCAGCACAGGAGCCCTGAGGCTCCTGTCCTGAGCCCAAGCCGGTGCTAGTGGGGCCAGGAACACTTCTCTGGGACAGACTCCGGGGGCATCAGGCACTTCCCTAACTTCTCGCAGCCCGGGGGCGCCCAGTTCTGGGTAATGAAAGTTCAGAGAGGGGACGTGCAGTTATTCCAAGCACGTGTGGACTCAGCACTTTCCAGACTCCTGCCCTGCCCAGGCCTGTGACCTGCCCCACCGCAACGGGTGGCTGCAGTGTGGAATCACCTGTCTCCACCTGGCTCGGAGGCAACTCAAGGCCTGAAGCCGGCACAGGAGACACTGCCCCACAGCAGCCTGGTATTAACAGGGCCTGCCTGTCACTGAAGGGGACAGTCCGCTAACTGCCCACACAACCTTGGCCTCCCGGTAAGCTCTACAGGTGGCGGCCTTGGTGCCCCAGGGAGAGCTGGCCTGCTTCAGCACAGGCTCTCCTGGCTGCACCTTCATGGGCTGACTTCCTTTGTGTGGCCATGATTTCCCGGCAGCAGAACAGGACACTCGGGCTTCCCCGGTGGTGCAATTGTTGGGAATCCGCCTGCCAATGCAGGGGACATGGGTTCAAGCCCCGGTCTGGGAGGATCCCACATGCCGCGGAGCAACTGAGCCCGTGTGCCACAACTACTGAAGCCCACACGCCTAGAGCCTGTGCTCTGCAACAAGAGAAGACACCGCAATGAGAAGCCCGTGCACTGCAACAAAGAGTGGCCCCTGCTCACCGCAACTAGAGAAAGCCCACGCGCAGCAACGAAGACCCAACACAGCCAATAAATAAATAAATAAATGTTCCTTTAAAAAACAAGACAAGAAAAAAAAAAAAAAGGACACTCATGCCCCTGAGAGGGAGCCTTTGTGGCGCTGTCGTGTCGCCTCACCCAGGAGGTGTACCCATCCCCCTAGTCACCCTGTGGGGGGCACTCCCCCTACTACCGCCCCTGCCAGGGCCTGAGTCTGAATCAGAACATCAGCGCCAGTGAGAACCGCAGGTAAAGCCCTCCCCTGCCCTGAACAGCATCAAGTGGCCGCCCGGCAGGGCCAGGGTTAGATGAGGAAGCAGCTGCCAACCTCTGAGGCAGAGCAGAGGAAGGGGCCAGGTGCCTGCAGAGAACAGATTCTGCACCCAACCTGGGAGCCTGGGGGTTCAGGGAGGCGGGCTGCCCGGGCTGCTCTTGTCCCAAGAGCAGAGGTCGCTACCCAGAGTCCTCACCCGCTGGCCTGGACGAGCGGGGCCCAGGCAGAGTGCGGGGACGGGGGAGGGCTTTGCACGCTCGCGTGTGCGCGCGCACACACACACACACACGCCCACACGCGTCCACACACTGTTAAGTCCATGCACCTCTCTGGTGGCAGTGCTCGCTTCAGAGTCTGAGGCCAAGCCACGCTCTTCCGGGGTCCTCAGCTCACTTGGGGCGGGGGTCCCTGCTTTCTCCTGTTACGGGGTCGGCCAAGCCTCGGCAATTCCTGCCGCGCCCAGCAGGTGGCGGCAGCACCCCGGCCAAGTCAGTCCCTCCCCATCTCCCCTACCGTCACTAAGACCCCTTTGGTCTCTGAGCCACCAGGCAACGGCTGCTACCTGCAGACTCGGCCCACAGGGCAGGCGTGACAGGAGATGGCGTGCTGGCGTGCGGACAGCACCGTGTCACAGAGGGCAAGACAGGTTTGCAGGGGGCACCAGGGGCTCCTCGGACCCGAGGGGCCGCCGTGGTCCTGAGCCAGGGAGGCCCTTCTGCTCCAGTGCTGAGTCCAGAGGCCGGAATGCCAGCCTGGCGTCCTTCCAAGGGAAGGGGGAGGCCCTGCTGGCCCCCGCGCCAAATGTCTTCCCCTGTGAGCCCCAGATGTGGACAACAGCGACCAGGCTGCCCCACTGGCCCTGGCCAACGACCCTCGGCCGCCCCCAAGGCCACCGGCCCCCTGCTACACCTCACCGCTAGGGAATGCTTCCAACACCCGTGCGTCGTCCTCACGCGCACCCATCACAGCCACCCGGCATCGCTCAGGCACCTCCTGGCTCGAGGCAGCGGCTCCGCAGGCCCGGCCGCGCCCGCAGCTTCAAGGGGCTTAGCCGTCCTCACAACCGCCAGGTGGGTCTGGGGAATGGGGTGTGCGGGGCGGGGGCACTCACGGGCTGGAAGCCAGGCTAAGCTACTGGCTTTGCTCTGCGGGTTTTGGGGTGCTGCCGGAGCTTCTGCCGCGGGGACGGGAGACTGCCCATCTTTGTGGAACAGGGAGCCACACAGACTCCCCAGTTATGGGACAGACTTGTGGGTGAGCCCCCATGGAGTTGGAGGAGGCTGTGCTCGGAGGTGGCCCATGGGCTTGCTGCACCCCAGGCCATCTGCCCAGCCTTTCAACACCCACATCCCACATGGGGTTGGCTCGTCCTGCACCTGCAGAGGTACCAAGCGACCCCTTGCCACTCCTGTGAGATCAGAGACAGAGAAGCAGGAGGGAAGTGGAGTTCGTGCCTGCAGCAGACCGGTCAGCACTCACTTGGCCCTGGGATGCCCCCCACAGCCCACGTACGAACCACTTACCATGACCGCCCGGTTGCACACATTGAGCTGCGGCTGTCCGGGGACCAAGGCCTCCTGGTGCTGCCGGACAACCGGGGTGATCTGGCGAAGGGCGTCCAGGTACTCGGTGCTGGCAATGCTGCAGGCGAGGGGCACCAGGTCACCGAGGTGGAGGGAGGGACAGAGCAAGTGGGGCAGCCCACCCAGGTAGGCCAGGGTTGGGGGGGAGACTGAGGAACAAGCCCCCCCCCCCCCGGGGTCACCATCCAGCAGCCTCCCGGGAAGAGCAGCTGGGGCCCACACCTTGTCCCGCCCGCCCTCCCCGAGAGGCGTGCACCCTGGGAACCACCCAGCAAATGAGGGCTCAGACAGAGCCACGTCACGCCCAGGACAGCAGCTGTGACCCTTCAGCCTGCTGCCTGCAGGAACCACCGGGGCACCGCCCGGCATCGCAGGCGCCCTGAGCTGCAAAGGCTTGGCAATGCCCGATCTCTCCTCTCTCAGGGTCCCTTTAATCCTGGCCCCAGTTCATTTCTCTCGGACAGGCTGGTCCTGCCCCAAACGCCCTGATACCGCGTGGCTCCCGGGCCCTCGGCGCCCTGCTCGGTCGGCTGCACTCGCCCCGCAAGGGGACTTGGGGCCCCGTAACCCCCGGCTCACCTGAGGGGGAACCTCTCCCCGGGGTCTCGTCCCAGGTGGAAGACCAGCGGCAGCTTAGTGTGCTCCTCCTGCGAGTGGGTGGTGACCCCCGACACGTTCTGCCCGGGGCAGAAATCCACGCCCTGAAACGACAGGCCGGGGCGCAGGTGATGTGTGCGGGGCTCGCAGCGGGCGAGCACAGCAAGACCGCGGATGCCGTGCTGTGGGGCAGAGCCTGCTTGCCACCCAGCCCCGGGCTGTGTGCCATCGGCCCTGTGCGCCGTCCCCTAGGGCTTCGGTACTTTCCTGGGGGAGGGGGTGGTGAGTCTCTAAAATATTTCACTCCATCTTCTATCTAATTCCTAGAGCAAAGCTTTTCACGTGCACCCTATCTGCCTCGTGGCAGACGAGGTGCGCAGCGGTCGGCACTCCTCCAAGACTCCTTGGCCAGCTGAGGAGGAGGGACCGCAGGCCTGAAAGCCAGAGGAGACACAGGGGACCCGGACGCACCGCCCCCACCCTTAACAGGAGACGGAGCGTCTTCTCCACCAAGGCTCAGGTGTGCAGCCCCGCTCCGCGCCCTCCAGGAGGCCTCTGCCCTCGGGGTTCAGCCTTCGACGCGTGCGTGAGATGGGGTTCCCGCGCCAGCGTGTCCCCCAGGCTTGAAGGCTGTCCCTCGGGGCTCCCTGACTTGGTTTAGGGAAAGGCCTGCTGCCATCTGGGCAGAGTGGGGCGAGGCCGAGGGTTGCCACCCCAGAAGCACTGGGGACCTCAGGGCCCCATAAGCAGCTGGGCACTGGTCTCCAGGCATCATGGGACACTGTTTACAGGGTCTGGAGCGGGGCCGTGGCGGGGCCCGTTAACCTTAAAACGGGGCCGGGGACAGAGACGTGCCTCCTGCCTCTCCTGCGGGCAGCGGTGCAGCCTGACGGCAACCCTCCCAGCACCCGCGGGTCTGTCCTGGACAGCCCGGCAGTGGAGCAGTGAATACTCTGCTTCTCAGTAGAGCAGGGAAGTGAGGAGCGAGATAAGTCCCAGTCGTCTGCCCTGAGCTGTAGACCCCTGAGTCAGCGGCTGCAATCTAAGCTGTGGAGAACGGACACCCAGGTGGGTCCCAAGTAAGTGACCTCTGACCTTCTGGGAGCAGACCAGCTGGAGAACAAAAGTGGATTTAACGGTGGGAGAAACAACCACGTTCAGCATAAAAAAGCCGAGCAGTTAATGGAGAAGAATCCAAGTCTAGACAGAAAACACGAGTTACCATTTGGAAGCAAATCATCAGCTATTTGATTAAGACGCCGCTAATTCGTGCAGGAGTTTCCTCTCACAGCCACTCTCGGGAGGACCTGCCCCAGGGGCAGCGCAGCTGAGCCCCACGCAGCCCAGCCAGGCAGAGGGGGCGCGGGGCGCCCTGCCCCAGCACAGCACTGGCGTTGGGAGGACGGGAAGGAGGAGGGGGGCGGGCGAGCCGTGCCCTTGAGCCAACGCTCCTGGATTTAGTCCAGAAATGCAGAAGGTCCCATGGACACACGGGCCCTCCCTCCTGCCTCGGTCCCCCGGGCCTCAGACGCCTCCTGAGGGGAGGCCACGGGCTTGGGGGTGATGGCGGCGCCAGACCTGGCACAGGGAGAATGCTCACTCCTCCTTCGCCTCTGGTACCTGGTCAGGACGCGGGCAGGTGGGCCCACAGGCACTGGGGGGTCGGGGGGTCAAGGGGGTGGGAGATGCCCCAGACAAGGGTACAGGGGAAGTTAACAAGGTCCCCTCGGGCGAACCCTGCACCTGGGGACCCCTGACCTCCTCAGCTAAGCCACGCCCCCAGCCTGCAGACAAGGCTGCCCCTCACGTGTTGATCGCCTGGAAGGCAAGTCTCCACAGAGCTCAGGGAGCTGTCGACGGCCACAAGGCCGCTGTCGTGGTTTCTGGGGCCCCTCCCGACTGCACACACCCCCTCCGCCTTACTGGTCCCTGCAGGGAGAGGGGCCATCAAAGCAGCGTGCGGGGCCCCCTCCCCCGCCCCCAGCATCTGAATGGAACTGCGACCGTGCAGACCCACCGCAGGGGGCACCCCCCAGTGCCTGCACGCCTGCGCGCCTTGGAGAAGAGACGGCAGTTTTGCGCGTTAACCAGAAGCCCCACAGATAACCCTTGGGAAAGGGAAGCAGCGCCCCCCGCGGAGCCCTGCGCTCGGGTGTCCCCGCCGCGCCGAGGGGGCCTCTCCTGACGCTTTCCGGCCCCACCGTGAACGCACTCGAGTCAGCACAGGCCGTGCAGCTGGCTGCTCGCTGCCTGCAGACACGCTGGGCTCGAAGAGGCTCCCCAGCCCCTGTGGGCTCCGGCTTGGGTGGAGGCTGGGCTGACCACACCTGCCCTCAAGAGGCCCAACAGCCCACGGTGGGCGAGCGGTGGCTTCCAGAATGCCAGCGAACCCGTGCAGCTGGACGCAACGGGGACCCTCCGGGGTGGGGAGGGGCAAGGGCCGCCACGCGGTCCCCAGGGGCCCTCAGGCGGGGCTCCTAGGCCCTCGGCCCCTTGGCATCTTCAGGGGCGAGCCAGCCGCAGCCCTGCCCGTCGGGGTGCCGGGTGCTCAGGACAGCTCAGCAGTGACGGGACGTGGGGAGGCACAGGCTTGGCTAAGGGAGGGCGAGCGGGGGCGGCCCAGGCGCGCGGAGAGGAGGTGGTGGGCGGCCACGAGCTGGGAGGGCCGAGTGGGGCTCCGGGCCTGGCAGGGGCACTCCACCGTCAGGACTGGGGGTGGACACGGGGAAGCAAACATGGCGACAGCGTCTCGGGGGGCCGCCGAGCACCTGGCCGGGCCAGTGGGTGCACGGGAGGGGAGGCCGGGGAGGTGCCGGGTCTGCCTGGGCCCCTGAGGCACCTGACCCGGGTTTGGGGCTGAGCTGCCCTGAGGCCTCGTCTCCGGAGCCTGGGTGGCGCGGGCCAGGGTGGGTGCTGTCCTTGTGGCCACAGCTCGTCACCCCCAAGTCCCTGACAGCAGGTCAGCACGTGAGCCGGGGGCACAGAGGCCTCCCCAAGGTGGGACGTGAGGGATGAGGCATTCACAGAGCCGGGACCGCCTCACCTGCCTGAACTCCTCCCAGGAATTGGTCCAGGTCCAGAAGTGGGCCTTGTACTGGCCACGGGTGACCGCCATCAGCGTGTTGCCACGGTAGTAGAATACCGGCCTGTCGGGGACAGGCGGCGTCAATTGAAAGGGTCCCCGGGCTGTGGAGGGGCCCCCTGGCCGCCCCTCATCCCCGGTGCTGGAGAGGCTGGCGGCGGAGGAAGGGGGTAGCACGCGGGCACGGCAGGCGGGCCTGTGGGGACGAGCATGGCGGCTGGCACCCCCTACCACCCCCGCCAGGGGTAGCAAGCTCTCATGCCAGGTTTCAAGACAGAAAAGAGACAGTGAGCCGTCCACTCCTGGCCGTCAGCCTGCTCTGGTTACACTATACACCCTTCAGAGTCCACGCCCCTTCACGGCAGCCTGGGAAACTCATTTTGTTTGAGCAAAACAGTAGCAGATCTTGAGCTGGAGCAACTGCCTCTGGACAGCGTCCCGGCGTGGAGCTGCGTGTAGGCTGGGGCCGGGCAGAGGGTGAGGGACGCCGCAGGGAGGAACAAGGCCTCTCCACCCCACCAAGCACTTCATGCCAAGACCCCCGGGTCTCACCTCCCCCTGGGCGAGGACACCTGCTTTGTCAGCCAGCTTGGCCCCGGCGCCAGCTGCGGGGCGCCGGGCGGGGCGAGTGCCCGGCGGGAACCTACCTGTCTGTCAGGCGGCCCTGGAGCATGGTGGGGAGGAGGTCCAGGCCGTCGATGGCCCTGTCCCTGGGTGGCTCCAGGCCTGCGAGGGACAGGCTGGTGGTGAAGAGGTCCATGATGCTGCCCAGCTGGTGGCTCACCTGCAATGGACGTGGCGCAGACGCGCTCAGGATGCCCGCCCTGCCCTGCCCAGATGGCGGCCAGGGGCCAGGTCCCCAGGCGTGCTTGCTGACGCCCACGCCCACGCGCACACACACACACGCGCGGTCACATCCCGCTGCATGTCCACACACGCAGAATAGAGGCTTTCCCTGCCCGATGACACATGTGCGTGGCAGAACGAGCGCAGGGAGCAGGCCAGAGAGGGGACCAAGGCATCACGCCCCAGGATGACTGCATGGCAGGCACAAGGCCGGCTCTGACTCACCTGGCCGGCAGGGATGTGCCCGGGCCACCAGGCGATCGCAGGCTCCCTCATCCCACCTTCAAACGTGGTCTGCTTCCCGCACAGAAAGGGGCCATTGCTGCCACCTGGGGATAGTCGCCCATCAGACCACGTGCCTGAGTCCCCAGGGCCATAAACACCCTGCCGGGCACTCGCCCTCGGGACACGTCTGTCCACCTGGCTCCCCGCCTGGCCCTTTGGAGGTGACATTACTGAGGCACTGAGGCCGTTGTGGAGACAAAGGACCAGCCCTGGGGTTCAGGCCTCAAGTTCAACGTCGGAACGCCTGGAGATGGCTCTGACCTAGAGCTGTGGTCATAAGGTCATGCCCCCATAGACCGCGACCACGCACACACACAGCACGTGGACATGTTAGTGAAAGACGTGGAAACGTTAAGACACAGTCCCGACCCCGGGCCTGGCAGGTGCCAGGTTCCCTAAATGTCACTGTGCACAAGCAGCTCCTGTGTGCCTGGGGTTTGGGGGTGCAGATCCCGTCTTTCTGACACGCCCTGCTCTGAGCAGGTGGTCCCTGAACCTGGCTGTAGGCGGTGCCGAGGGCAGACAGCCCGGTCCTGGTGAATCGCACGTCCCCGGCTCGCTGCCATGATGGAGGGAGGGACCCCTGAGCATGGGCCTCGCTGGTCAGCACAGGGACAGCAAGGGTCACAGGCCAGAGGCCAATGAGGGCCTACTTCTCTCCTGCTCCTGTCTCTCCAGCTGGGGGTGGGTACATGGATTTTTATTGTCTTGTTCTGCCCCTGCAGCTCCTTCTCTGCCGAAGCCAGTTGCGCTGTTCCTGTCCCTGGAGATCCCTGGGCCCCTCTGCCCCCAGGACACGTGGCTGTAAGGTCCCCCAGTGCCTCCCCAGACAGGCCCGGCCCTGTGGGGTTTCCAGCTGTCTGTGGCCTTCCTTCCAGAGCTGTCTGAGTGACTCAGGGCCCTCCTGGGGCCCAGCCTTTTTAAGAAGAAAGGGAAAAAGAGACATCACCACGGGGGTGTGAAACCCTCATAGGACTGTGAAACGCGGGCTCTAACAACCTCGCTCCAGCTCCGCAAGGTGGAAAAGCCTCAGGCCTGAGAGGCCTAGAGCCAGGGTCCTCAGGAGGACTGCAGGCTGGCAGGGACACAGACGGAGGGTCTGGGGGAGTGAGCAGGCCCCCCGCGCTGCGCCAGGGGCTCCGGCACTGCAGGGGAGGGGGGCTCGCTCCCTCCCCTCCCGACACCACCCACCACGAGGCCTGGGGGGGCGCTTCCGAGGGGCGGGGTGGGCGCCAAGCCTGGGCCTGGCTGCCGCAGGGTCATCGCCCCCGTGGGAAGGGAGGCCCCCAAACACAGAAAAAGGGGCAGATGTGTCCAGTCACAACGGCCACTGTGTTACAGCTGAGATCAGAACGGAAACGCTGATAGGGGACGTTGCGGCTTCAGAGAGAGAACTCCGGACGCGACTGGCCCCAGGGCTGGCCAGTAGAGAGGCAGGACGCGGTGAGGGCCGCAGCCTCTGCCTCCGCCTGCCCCACCGAGCTCTCCCTCCTGACCAGGCACCTGCCAGGCGGTGGGGAAGAGGGGCATCGGACCTGGGGGGCGCTTGCCGGTGTCTCTCCCTCCCCAAGGCTGAGCCCTTCACACTCGGCCCGGTGGAGGGCTGCTGGGGGGCCCTGGGTAGAGCCCCATCTGCTCAAGTCACCTGCCTTGTCTGGGCGCAGAAATGAGGGCAGCGCCGTTGTCGGACGTGAAGAAAACAAAGGTGTTCTCTGCGATGCTCAGGTCCCGGAGGAGGTGCAGGATCTTCCCGACGCTGTCGTCAATCTCCCGGACGGCGTCCCCGTAACTGCGGGAAGGAGGGAGCGGTCAGCAGGGGCCAGCGGCCTCCAGGACCAGAGGGCGGCCGAAGCCGAACCTCAGGGAGGGACGAGGAGGGGGCGTTCCAGTCGAGTTTCAGACGGAATCGGGGCAGAGGCACAGATGCTTCCCTCTGTGCACAGCTGACAGTGGTAGCGAGGGCCCAGTCTCTGGTGGTAACCAAGCACAGCTGACCCCCCGCCCCGGGGCCCAGGTCTACATGCCCAAGGACTCACCGCCCCCGCTGGCTGGTGCCCAGGAAAGGCCTGGAGGCATAAACAGGCGCGTGTGTCGCGTCGATGGCCCAGTGTAGAAAGAAGGGGCGGCGAGCTGCCTGCTGCCTCTTAATGAAATCCAGTGCTTCCTGAGGAGAAGTGCACACCGTCTTCCCCGCCCCAGGCCCACCTCCCACCCCAGAGCCGGGCCAGCCCCTGCTGTCGTCACCTGCAGGTAGATCTGGGTGAGGTTGGCTTCTCCGGTCTTCAGGTTAATTGGAAATTCCTCATAAAATCTGAAAACAGTACAGATCCAGACAGAAGTCGGCCTTCAGGGCAGGAAAGCCGCCCCCCCCCCCCCCGATTTCCTGGGCCAAGTCAGGGGCCTCGTTTACAAGAGAGACGGAAACGTTCACGTCAGAACAAAACCGGAGCCTGGAAGCTCCCAGGCCTGTCGGGGACCCACTGGGGTGGAGTCTGGTGCCCCAGTGACCCCACCATCTGGGAGGAGGGGAGCCCCGCCAATGAACAGGCAGGACGGTGCGAGAGGAAGCGGCCAGTCCACGGCCACGGAGGGCACGGCTAACGGGTGTGGGCATCTCTCTAGGGTGACGGAGGCGGTCTGGGATGGGGGTGCTGGGTGAGCTACACCTCAGCAATGCTGGCCCAGCTCTGTGGTCCAGTGACGTGTACTGCGCTTCCACCAGAACAAAAATAATTTAAAAAGGAAGAAAGGGAAGTTAGGCCAGACAGGAAAGACCAGGGCCTGCCTGCAGCCACCCGATGGCCAGACCAGGTCGGTCCTGCAGCCGACGTCCCCCCAGACGGTGGCTCGGAGCGAGGCTGACCGTGCAGAGCGTAGCCCCCTCAGGGCACGGGGCCCAAACCCCGGAAGCCAAGTGACGCGCCTCGCTCTGGGGAGCATCCGGGGCTCCCAGCACCTTTCCTGAGACAGTCAGAAGCCCCCGGACGCGGGGCTCTTGTAAGTCAGAGGTCACAGCACGAGGTCTGGGCAGGACGAGGAGCTGGCGGGTGGGCAGCAGCAGTGGGCGGGGCCTGTTACCTGCCAACCATCTCCCAGTCCCGGTACACAGGGATGTTGGGCCTGGCCTTGTTGTCATAAGGTCCAAAGTGACAGTTGGGGGATCCAAACCACTCGTCGAATCCGTGCTTCAGGGGGTGGAACTGAGGCCTGTGGCCCAGATGCCTAGAGAGAGGAACCCGGGGCACTTCAGGACCGCCGCATGGGCGCCCCGGAGCTCCAGGAAGCAAACACCCTCGCTTTCAGAGAACAGCTCAGGAAACAAGGCTCCAGCCAGCCCCAGGGTGTGCTGAGCCCGGGTGCCCCGTGGCCTGGCCCCCCTGCCCGCACAGTCCACCCAGGCGACAACCGAGGGGCGCACATGGGGACGGTGACCAGGTCCCATGAGCGCGGCTCACTGCCCCGGCGCCCTGGGCAGGAGCCGGACGGGACGAGAGGATAACACGGCAAGGTGCCTGCGGGGCAACGGCCCAGCTGTTACCGGGCTCGGACCCGCCCCCTGCTCCCACCCGGGAGCCCCTTCCCCGCAGGTGCGTCACGTCGGGTCCTCTCGCCAGTGGGAGGGTCTCTCTTGAGAAGGCGCTGCTTAGAGAAGGGGTTTCGGGGTGAGGTTCCTCCTCCCTGGGAAGCAGACAGGTTTCTTGGGGTCACGTTTGCAGAAAGCCTCTCGCGGCCAGCATCGCTGGCGCAGCGCTGGGGGGCTGCACCGGGCCAGGCCGACTCCACGTCACCGTGAGCTTGCCGCACAGCTCGCTCACTCAGTCAGGTGGATGCAGCCCGAGGCAGCTGGGCAGGATGGCGCCGGAACTGAGCTGGCCGGCAGCGGAGTCTGGGCGCCGGTAAGTGAACCTCTCGGTGCCCCCTGCTGGTCCCGAAACACTCTGCCTCCGCCGGATGGCTGCCCGGCTTTTGGAGCCCCTGTGCCGGGGGCACCCGCACGGGTTCTGCCCCGAGCACTGTCTCCGCAAAGGAGAGCCAGCTGCGCCCCGTGCTTCCTCTCTGGGCCTGCAGCTATGACGCCCCCTCCACGCTGGACACCGCTGGGTGTGACACTCCTCGTCCTGCATCCTTCAGCCCAAACGGCCTTCATGAAACAGAAACACCCACAAAGGTCCGACTCGTGTGAAGTTGTCAATTCCAGGTGCTGGTCCCAGGGCAGCTGCGGGGTCAGTACTGCCTGCCAGCGAGCTGAGTGACAGCACGTCGAGCCCCTGGGACTCAGGGCAGCCTCTCGCGGGAGTCCAGGCTCCATCCATCCCAGGCCTTGGTTAGGCTGACAAAATCCGGATCCGTGGTGCTGGGGCCCGAGGCTGGCTGTCAGGCAGTCACGGCCACGGCCACCAACACCCCCTGCGGCTCTGATGGGACCCTGCTGAGACCAGCACACCCACCTGGCAGAGGAGGGACCGAGCCCCCTGCCCCGGGCCTCCCAGAGCCCGTCATCCCATTGGCCATGGCCGCCCTGACCCCGGCTGGTCCACCAGCTCTGCGTCCACCTCCCTGAGTCCATGGAGCTGCCTCTCCAGGCCCTGCCGCGTCCCTTCCTGTTCCTGAGTCCGCCCATCTCCGGAGCTCGTGCGGACAGGCTCCCACTCCAGCTCTGGCTGCCCCGTGTCAGTGACCACGAACGGGAGGCCCCTGGACCGGGGCAGAGCCGCCAGGCTGGGCAGAGAGCACCGGTCATCGCAGGGGCTCCTCCTTCTGCGGGCGCAGCCCTGGCACGGCCCCGGCGGGCCTCGTAGCCGCCCTACCGCCGTCTCCCGGGCCTTCCCGGCACTGCTGGGCCTTGCAGGCTCCCACATCCTGCACCCTCGTCAGCTCTGCTGTGCAGCCCCCACCGCCTCCAGGCTCGACCGCTCGGCCAGCAGGACAGCTGCCAGCCCCTCTCGGGGGTGAGGAAGCAGCCTCCATGTCCTCGGGTTCCCTGAGGACTCCTCTCCCGGTTTCTGCAGATCCCCCATCACTAGGACTGTCAACTGCGTGGGGCAGTGGTTCCCAAGGGGCGCAGATGAGGTGCTTGCCCTCGAGGTGGTGAGTGCCATAGGGGTCAAGGCGAGAGGGTCCAAAGCACGGCAGCGGCCGAGCAGAGACGATCAGCGCTGGAAGTCAGGGAAGGCTTCCTGTAGGAAGCAGGCTTGGTCTCCAAGGGCTCCAACACGTGGGAGAGGAAAGAGGACATCCGACCTTCATATCAACCTCTAGGGCTGCGTACTCAGGCATCCCCGGGGAGTACAGCGCGACACGCGTGTGACAACGTGATCTTTCACGATCACTTGACCCCGATGATTCCACACCACACGACCGTCCCCATCCCCTGCTTGCTTCTTGGTTTCATCACCAGACAGACCGCTTTGCTCGCTGGCGTGTCATCGTGACAGCACGCGTGTGCAATAACATGGCTCCTTTGGTGCTGCCGTGGCAGCCACCACCCCAGCCTCACCACGGGAGGTCCCACGGGCACGGCCACAGCAGCTTTTAAAGGGATGCTTTGGACATCTTAGCGGACCTGGAATTCAAGGACTCTACTCCCACCCGCGGGGCTCCCACGGGGCAACGTGAGTAAGGAATCCACTGGGTGAGCCCAGCAGGCAGGTGTGGGACTCACCACTTGCCCACGATCTTGCTGGTGTAGCCGGCCTCCTTCAGCAGCTCTGGCAGCAGGAGCTCTGAGTCCGGGATGCCGCCCACTATCTCCTGTGGCGTGTAGGCTGGTGGAGCAATGCACCGTGTGAGCCGGCAGGGTCGAGCGGCAGAGCCCTGGTCGGGGCAGCACCGCCCGGGCACTTTGCAGGTCTTCCGGCGCTCATCACAGCCAGCACCATTACCAGAGCGAACAGGCAAACGTGCCCCCGAGGGGGTCTGGACGTCAGGGGTCAGGGGTCAGGAGAGGGCCTGCCCCTGGCGTCTCCAGAACTCGGGCTCTGAGACCACACCTTCCTCCAAGGGCCCCTTGAAGCCCCACTTGGTTGGGGAGCCCACCTAGAGCCGGGCCGCCCCCGCCCCCGGGACAGGGCGGGAGCCAGCCCCACCCTCACCGTCCTCCCCACTCGCCCAAAACACATTGTTTCTGATGGAAGCTCTGCATTCTGTTTTAACATGAGTTACGACCCAGACAGAAGCCTCAACCCTGGGCGACAAGTGCGCCCGGGAGAAGCCAGGTCACCAGAGAGGACAGGCGACAGACGCCCCCTCCCTCTGCCCCAGGGCACAGCCTACCGTTCCTCGCGTGCCCGTTGGTAGTATAGAAGCCACTGCGGATGGGCAGGCGTCCGGTGAGCAGAGCCGCCCTGGCTACGCGGAGGGAACACAACAGAAACATGGGTCACGCGTGCAGCCCGAGGCCAGCCCTGTGGTACCCGAGTCCCCGGCAGCCACTTGAGAGCCGGGTGGGAGCACAGCTCCGCAAAGACCAGCAGCGGGGCCGGACGCAGCTCCCCCTCGCTCGCTCTCCAGCTCCCGGGACAGCCCACAGGCCTCCTCAGGTGCCGCCCCTTGCGGGGTCGCCTCTCGTCCTCCAGATCAGAGGTTCTCCCCACTGCGAGGCCATTACCCCCCCAGCTGGCGATCCCTTCCCTGGCTGAGCACCTCCCCCGAACCAGCCGCGACACTCAGCTCCGCGAGTGAACAGCCGCCGGCACCGAGGCGGCCGCTTGGGCCTCAAACGCCCGCAGAGGCTCCGAGCACTTGGCGGCCTCTGGTGGCTCCTGATGGCCCCGCGCTCCCCAGAGCATGGAGCTCAGGTGCTCCCAAGCACCAGGATCCGACAGAAGAGGCCGCAGCCCGCCTGCCAGCCCTCTGCCCCTTGCGGGAAATGCCGGTGGAGCCGACACCCAAGTCAGGGCTGCCACCCCCGTGCTCCGTGCCCGCACCCTGTGCCCCTTTCTGGCCTACGCATTCCCCGCCTCCCCACCGCGCCTCAGTCTCCGCGCTCCGTGCCCGCCCCCCTTGTGTCCCCCCACCCAGCATGCCCTACGCCCGGCCCCACTCCCTGGTGGCCTGAGCAGGCCGTGACTTACAAGGGGAGCACAGGGGATTGGCCGTGTAGAAGTTCGGGAAAAGCATCCCTTCCGCAGCCATCCGGTCCAAATTCGGGGTCTCTCTGGAAGGTTCTCCGTACACCCCGAGGTCGCCCCACCCCATCTGCAGGAAAGAGCGTGTGCAGGTAGGATGAGAACGTAGCTGGAGCCGTGGCCCCCAGCGCACCCCAAGTGCGGCAGGTGCGCGGTCAGCGCTCCCCGGTGCAGATGCCCAGCACCCACCTCCTCCCGGCCCCGACGCCGGCCCCACGTGCTCACGGGGCACCGGCACCAAGACACACACCTCTGCCTTCTGCACAGACGAGAAGGCCGTCCTACTCTGCGGTGTGAATTCACACTTAAAGACGGTGGCCAGGCCCCATGAAGCTAACCCGGTGAGGCCCCGAGGCCCGCGGTCCTCCCGAGCTCGCTGTCCCGAGAACTGGGCCGGCCGGCACCCAGGCGCCGCACGAATGTCCACAGCAGCAGGACTCCCGACTGCTCAAAAGAGACAGCCTGTGTCCATCACTGATCAACAGTAGACAGATGTGGTCCATCCATCCAGGACCGGGGTGAACAGCAGCCTCCCGTTTACGTCCACTCAGGACCGGAGAACGTAACCATACTTGGAAATACGGACGTAATTAGCTAAGATGAGACCACACTGGACCAGGGTAGCCCTAAATCCAGTGACTGGGTCCGTGTGAGAAGATGGGACACAGAGACAAGACAGACACACAAGGAGAGGCCAGGCCTCCACGACGGAGGCAGAGACTGGAGGGTTGCAGCCACAAGCCAAGGAGCACAGGAGCCCCCGGGAGATGGAGGGGAGGGAGGACCCTCCCTCGGAGCCTCCGGAGAGACTGGCCCTGCAGCCCCTTGATTTCAGACTCTGGCCTCCAGGACTGGAGGAAACAGATTCCTATTCCAAGGCACCAAGTCTGTAGCCACCTGTTAGGCACGAGAGACCTGATACACACACTACGGACCACTACTCGGCCGTAAAGAGGAACGAGGTGCTGACACTCACGAAAACAGGCTGCTGAGAAGCCGGTCAGAAAAGGCCGCAGGGTGTACGATGGATGTGAGACGTCCAGAACAGGCAAGTCCACGGGGACAAGGCAGATGGGTGGTTGCCAGGGGCTGGGGGAGGGGGAGGAGAGTGACTGCCAGTGGGAAAGGGGTTTCTCTTCGGGGGGTGGGATGTTCTCAGCTACCGGATGGGGGCGCTGCACAAGCCGGCGCACGTGCTAAACACCACCGAACCGCACGCTTTAAAATGTTAAAAGGGTGAATTCATGTTATGTGCGTTGTGCCAGAAGAAAACCCGCCAGGTGGTGAGGTGGGTTAGCACGGGGGACGGACGGACGGACAGACGTGAGACAGAGCAGGCAGAGTCCAGGCGCGGCGACAGGTGTGCACTTCGACACCCTTTCAGCTGCACGGGTGTTCGACAACTTTCATCCTAAAGCGCTAAAGAAATACCTGAAAAGGGCAACGGGACGTGACTTCGCTCTATGACCCAACGCATCCTTCTGCAGCCAGTGGCGTGGGGCAGGAGTGACCCCGACAAACTGATTCCCCTCGGCGCTGCTGGCGGGCGCGGCCCTGCTTCCCCTCTGGATTCTCTAGACGCGCCAGCCCCCTCCAAGCTGGCTCTCCTTCACCGGCCGCTCCTCCTGGAGGGGTGGAGTGGGGGGGAGGGCGGGGACGGGGCTTCTTCCCGGGGTTATGAAGATGACCTACAGCTGACCGTGGTGACAGCTGCACGACGCTGTGAAGGTGCTAGAAACCGCGGAATTGTGCCCTTTAACTGGTGAACTGCATGATGGAAACTGCGTCTCCGTAGAGTGCCGCTGGAAAGCGCAGGCACCTGGTGCTGCAGCGGCCTGGCCGTGCCTGTCTCTCTGGGGCCCCTTAAAGCTCTCCAGACTCACGGGCCACGGCCTGCCAGCCCACAGCAGGCTCGGCAGGTCTGCACGGAGACGCTGGGGAGAGCGGGGCCAGCGCGCACGAAGCTCGGGGACCCCTGGGTCACACGTGGGGGCCGAGCACGCAGGTTTGCCCGGGATGGTCACAGGTAGGTGTGTGGTCTGGCTGTCATCATTCATGCCCCCTGCACTGGGCAGGAACTCACACGGCGCCCTCTCCGTCAGGGAGAGCCAGGAGGGGGACACGTCCCCTCGTCTCCCGGCCTTCGGCCCATCCTGACACTCGGGTCCCAGAGCTGCCTGGGGGCTTTTGCCCTTGGACTGTGCGGTCTGTTCTCAAAGACCCTTCCAGCCATAGAGTCCCTTTGGAAATGGTTTATCTTGAAATTACTGAAAAGGCTTTTCCGTTCACCACAACAGGAGCTGGAATGAAAGTTGCCCCTGGAGGGAAGTGCGGCCGACAGGGGCAGGAAGTGGAGTGGAAGGCACGAGGCTGAGGCTCCAGGCCTCTCCCTGCTGCCCCCTCTCCCCGCACCCCACGGGGCACAGGCGGGCTGCCGACCCTCACCCCCAGGCCAGGTAGGAGGAGCAGAGAGAGGCAGAGGGGCTGGGTCCACTGGCACCACCCAAATCCCAGCCTCCCAGGAGGGAGGTGGGGCACAGCACAAATCTTACGTCTGCATAAACAGTTTAGGCACAGGGAATGCTGGGATACTCCCCAAACCCAAGTTCCCAGATGGCGGCCAAGGGCCCACCTATTTACAGGTGAGCCTCTCTGAGGCCTGCAGTCACTGGCCTGCCGTGTTAGCTCCTTCCTGCTGAATCAAGTTCTATTATCACTTATCGGTAGGCTTTCTTGGCTATACAAATAGGGATGTTAACATCCACCTTGCACGGCTATCACGGCTTCCATGAGACCGTCCTCCACGGCACCCTGGGCAGGGTCTCCCACAGAGTGTGAAGGATGTCTCCCCTCTCCCACGTGATCGCCCACCCGCGCTCCCAAGGCAGCCGGAACCCGGGCCTATGGTCCTCCTCCTGGCCTCGGCCTTGCCATTACTCGGTGGGAACTTCAAGACTTCTGGGCGTAACTAATGAGAACATAGCACAGGGAACTCGACTCATTACTCCCTGGTGACCTAAATGGGAAAGAAATCCAAAAATGAGAGGATATATGTATACGTACACCTGATTCACTTTGTTGTACAATAGAAACTAACACAACACTGTAAAACAACTACACTCCAATAAAAATTAAATAAAAAAAAAGACTTCTGGGCAGTGCAGGGGCCACGCACAGCTACGAGGGATTATTACCCGTGCGTGTGTCCACATCGACACGTGTGCGAGGCCCTGGAGGGTCAGGGCGGGGGCACTGGCTGGATGGGCCCACCGTGGGGACACAGAGGCTGGCCTCTATGCAGCCTGGCCTTACCCTTCCCAGTAGCCACAGGGCGTCCTCCTTAATCCTGTTTTACAAGTAAAGAACTGAGACAGACGGCACTCGGGCCCAGCCGGGCAGGAGGGAGCTCTGTCCCTGCGCCCCGGCCCCATCACCCATCAGCCTTAGAGAATGGAGCTTCTCAGCCTCTTCTAAATTCTTCCACAAGTTGATGCCTACCAGGGCCTGCGCCTCCTGCCAGGCCTGATGACCGCCTGGGTGAGGACACAGAGCTGGGGGGCCTGAAGCCTGTCTAGTCGGGAGAGCCTCGGCCCCCACTTCTGCTAAAGTCGCTTTGAGTGTGTTTCCTGTCATGCGCTGACCAGGACAGAGGTCTCCCCGACTTCTCTGGGCTTCAGCTGCCAAAGAACCCCAAAGTCACAGGAGGAAGCCGCAGAGGAGAGTCAGGGCATTGGGGCCTCCTGGCCCACTGTTCCTGTCTCCTGGACCCACCCTGGGCACCCAGGCAGACGGGCCCCTGGGTCAGCCCCCCTCGAGTGAGACGTGCCCAGTGCCGGTCCCCCTCCACCACTCAGGGCCTCCGACAGAGCCCAGCGGCCCCGGTAACGGGCAAAGAGAAACAGGTGGGTGTGGGCACAGGTTGTACTTTCTGTAGCCCCATAAATCCAGAAAACGACCATCTCAACCAGCCTGCAGCATCGACCTTCACTAATGAACTGTCACCTTGGAGAGAAAGGGAGGGGCAGAAATCGGAGAGGCTAAGTGCTCAGCAAAGCCTTGCTTGCCCCAGTAATTCATGTACTTAAACAGCCTTCCTGCCCAGGAACCTCAGCTTTGAGAAGGCTGACCCGCTGACACAGCGAGCATTTCCAAGACCCACGTGTTCGTCACAAGCAAAGTTTCCGTACCAGCCATCGGGGTGGGCTCCGGAGGAGAGGAACTTCCGGGTCCCTGCGGAAGCCCTCGTGTCTGAACAGTTATGGGTAGAGAGAAGCACGGTCTGCGTCACCTCTGGGCGGAGCCACCATGGGCGGGTTTCTGCGATCTTTTCCGGCTTATTTGAATGTTGGTAACTTTTTGTAATAAAGAATTATTTTCATAATAAAAAAGTTACATGAGATATATTTTATGTCTTTTTCTTGTACTAGGTCTTTGAAATCCGAGCGTGTTTTTTACACACAGCACCTCGAAATTCCGACCAGCCAGGACCGCCCAGCAGCCACGTGAGGCCCGTGGCCTTGGTCCAAAGGCTCCTGGGAGTGTCTCTGCTGGTCTTCTGGGGAACTGTGAGCTATTTTTACTCACAACACTTCTGACACCAAGTGTGTGTGGGTGGGTGACCACAGCAACTCCTTCTCCGGCCTCTGGGCACCGGCTGGGAGTGCAACAATTCAGCTCCGTCTGACACTACCTACCTGGACCTGGCATCTGACCCCACAGGTCAAGGGCTCAGCCCCACAAGACTGCCCCCACTTCACATGCCAGGCGCACATCCTGGGCCTCCTGTAAGTCAAGGCTCCCACAACCCACCCCCACTGCCCCCAAAGTTGGATAATTTGCTAGAACGGCTCACAGAACTCAGGGTGGCGCTGTGTTCACTATCACCTGTTTACTGTCAAGGACACAACTCAGGGACAACAGGTGGAAGAGATGCCTCGGGTGAGGCGTCGGGGGGACTTCCCTGCCCTCTCTGAGCCCTTCCACGTGTACACCGACCTGGAGCCCCTGGAGGTCAAGGCTGTGCCTTCCAGTCACGCCTTGGCCTTCCTGGCGACCACATCCTGAAGCCATCCAGGGCCCCCCCCTACAGACACTGGTATCACTCCGGATTCGAGGGTTTAGGAGCCGTATGCAGGACCTCTGCACTGCCTCAGCCCTCAGGACGGGGCGGAGGGGAGGCCCAAAGGGCCGCGGTCTCCCCACAGCTCAGGGCAGCAGGCACCTGAACCCAGGTTTGCCTGCGTCCCCACTTTACCCCAACGCTCCACAGGGACTGATTCCAGAGCCTCCATTTCACTCCCCAAAAAGTGCCCCCCAAATACAGTCCCGCTTCCTTGGGAAGGAGCACAGGGACCAAGTCGCAAAGGAGGCGCGAACAGCACGGCTCTGTGGGAAGGGTGGGAAGGGTTGGCCGCCGCGGTGACCAGGGTGGCCTGGGGCTACACACACACCCATCCACACACCCATCCGGGGACATTCCTCCGGTTCCCAGGGCAGGTCCAGCAGGCCAAAGGCAGCGGGGAAGGCGACTTCCAGGGCAGGCAGGCAGGCCGGGGTCTTAGTCAGCTCTGCACCGCTTCCCTGCCACCCACACCCCCAGCAGTGGGGGGCGGCAGGCGAGAGCAGGGGTCCTGGGGAGGTGGTCCTCACGCGGCCAGCATCGCAGCACGCCTGAGGGACAGCGGAAGGAGCGGGGGAGGGAACAGGACGGGAGGCTCTTCTCCTGGCCCGGCCTGGACACTACACCTCACTTCACCCTCACCCACGAGCCAGGCTGCGGCCAGGCGCGACCCCCACACCGCCGGCCGCCCCCAACCCCGCCCGAGCGCAGTCCTCCCGGGAGCCCGGCCCACACCCGCACTCACGTCGTCCATGAGCAGGAGCAGGATGTTGGGGGGCTGCGGGGCGCCTGTGACCCCCAGCCCCGCGGCGCTCAGCACGAGAAGCAGCCGCCACCTCGTCGCCGCAGCAACCGCCGCCATGGCAACCACGCCGAGCGCCACGGAGCCCCGGAGCGGCGGGAACGGCCCGGCCCGGCAAAGCGGCCGACCCTTCCGGCTGGGCGATGGGGCGGGGCCATGCCGGCTGAGTGACAGGAGAAGCGGGGCCCTGACCGACAGGGGCGGGGTCAGACCGGCTGAGTGACAGGGATGTGACAGGCGGGTGGGGCGGGGCCTAGCCGGCCGCATTACCGTCGTCGTCACGTGATGCGGCCTGTCGGGCTCCCAAGATGGCGGTTTGCGTAGCGGTGATCGCCAAGGAGGTGCGTACTCCGCCGGGCAGGCCCGCTCCAGCGTCAGCCTAGCTCTCCGGTTCCCCTCCTTCCCTGCCCCAAGGGCTCCGGAGGGTGGGCCCGGGGGCTTTGCCGAGCGTAGGTGGCCAGGGGCGGGCCCGGCGGAGGCGCCGCCCAGACCTGCACCTGCCGCTGCCGAAGCGTCACGGGCCGGGTCTTCCTCTTCCGTGCGGGCCGCCGCTCCGCCCAGCCCCCCGTCCGCGGGCTTTGTGGTTTCCTGCTCCCGAGTCTAGGCGTCCACTTCTGTCCATCCTGCTCGGCCGCGCGCTCCCAACGGCCAGGCCGTCGACCCCCGGACGAGTGACTGTTCCTCTCCGCTCAGCAGCCACAAGTCAGACCGTTGCACACCTCTGCCTGGAAGCCTCAACAGTGGCTTCTCATTGCCGTAGAATCATGTCCGAATAATCCCCTCCCCGTACCACAGACACGCTCCACTCCAGCTGACGGACTTACCTGCAGCTCCCCCGGCAGGCTCTGCTCCCTCACGTCTGGGCCTCTGCACCTGGAACCCCTTCCTCCTTCTCCCCCACTCCTGTCCCCTCCACTGGCCACCGAAGATTTCACTTTCTCTAGAAAGCTCTTTCTGAATCCTGAGATTGGGCTGCGTGGCCATCCACGCGCTCCTACTGCACGGAGCCGTGGTGTCCGCCCCAGCCTTTTGAAGACTAGGCTTCTGCGGCGGTTTTCCCGTGAAGCTCTTGTTACGCTGACTTCCGTCTTATCACTTGCTGCGTTATTTGTTGGTGGGTTTGTGGACTGTCTCCTTCATCTGTCATCTCCATCAGGGTAGGGACAGCGTTGTGTACACTATATCTGTGCAGTGCCAGGCCTGTGGGAGCCTGGGAAGGCGCTGTTAACTCCAGGGTTAGGCTGCTCGGAAATGGCCCTGCAGAGATGGAGGTCTGAGACAACCCTTGACGGGTTTAGAGGGAGCCTGCCAGTGCCTCTGAGACTGCAGGAGCTGGAGTGTTGGGAAACAGCCAGTATGACGGGGCCAGGAGGAGAGCACGTGCTAGAATGGGGCCCTGCTCAGAACGTGAGTGACAGGCTGTGCTCAGACCCACTTCAGAGGCGTCTTCTCTTTTCTGCCCATCCTACCCATGCCCCTTTGCAGACAGTATGAAAACCTCCTCAGGTTAGATTGGGTGCCCTGAAGGCAATGCCCACGGCAATTTGAAGGATTTTTTAAAATTTATTTATTTATTATTTATTTTCGGCTGCGTTGGGTTTTCGTCCTTGGGTCTTTTTTGCTGCACGCGGGCTTTCTCTAGTTGCAGCGAGCGGGTTGCTTCTCTTGTTGGGGAGCACGGCTCTAGGCGCATGGGCTTCAGTTGTGGCACACGGGCTCAGTGGTTGTGGCTCGCGGGCTCTAGAGTGCAGGCTCAGTAGTTGTGTTGCACGGGCTTAGTTGCTCTGTGGCATGTGGGATCTTCCCGGACCAGGGCTCGAACCCGTGTCCCCTGCATTGGCAGGTGGATTCTTAAGCACTGCGCCACCAGGGAAGTCCCAGTTTGGAGGATTAAGCAGTGGGTTTTGGGGAATGAGAGCGTATTCTATGGCTAATTGGCACTTGGCCGATCTGCCCTCCTGAGTGCCCCGTGGCCTTGTTTTCCAGGCCAGCGCACATGGGGTGGATCCTTGTCTCTTCAGCCACCGTCATCCTTTTCTTGCAGAATTACCCTCTTTACATCCGCAGTGTCCCCACGGAGAACGAGCTCAAGTTTCACTACATGGTGCACACGTCCCTGGACGTGGTGGACGAGAAGATCTCAGCAATGGGGAAGGCCCTGGTGGACCAGAGGGAGCTTTACCTGGGCCTGCTGTACCCCACAGAGGACTACAAGGTGTATCCTCGCACCTGGCAGTGGCTTTGAGTCTGGGGATTCCCTGCAGTCGCAGGGTGCGCTGTAGCATTAGGTCCCCTTGAAAAGCATCTCGTAACATCACTTGAAAAGAAAAAAGATGCGGGCTTTTGGCCAGTGGGGAATTAGAGCAGCTTGAGGACACTTAGGACCTCACACCCTTCTTTCTTTAATTAGGAGGATAATGTGGGAGCAGCCAGGCTTGAATTGCCTTGTGACAGTCCCCACCTGTCCCTTGGGTTTGTGGAGGAACTGGGGACTCTCTGGCTTCATGCCATCTCAGTGGGGCCACCACCTCCTGAGCAAGGGGTCATTGTTTACGCATCTTTTTTTTTTTTTTAGTATTTATTTATTTAGGCCGCACAGGGTCTTACTTGCAGGATGTGGGATATTCCTTGCAGCGTGCAGAATCTTTAGTTGCGGCATGTGGACTTAGTTGCAGTATGTGGGATCTAGTTCCCTGAGCAGGGATCGAACCCCAGCCCCCTGCATTGGGAGCATGGAGTCTTAGCCACTGGACCACCAGGGAAGTCCCCACTCATCTCTTTGCCAGGCCCGGCCCCACCAGTCACTGTAAGATCTTGACCAGTCCTTGGGACAAATGGCTCGAAACCTATGGAGTTCAAAGACATTCCCACAAGCAGTAACGAGCTCGCCCAGTGTCACTGCCCGGAGCCACTGTTCCGCAAGATGGAGTGGCCTTTAGAGGTATGGGTACCTTAGGCAGGATTCGCCTCATTTGTGCAACCTCTGGTCTTGCAGTTAACCCTTCCCAGCTGGGAACTGTTGCAGAGAGAAGGCGAGGTGCCCCAGGGTTTGGGCAGGTTGCCCCGGGGCTTGGGTCATGATAGGCTTAGCTCCGTGCCCTTTGCTTCTCCAGTAAACACCAGAGCTGTCTAAGGAAGTGTCCAGTCACACCTGCTGCAGTCCTTTGTCCTCTTGGCACTGTGGGAGTGGCCCAGCCTGGGGCACTTGCTGTGATGCAGGTGTCATGCTTCTGCAGAGCAGCTTAGCAGCCGGAGGACATGCACAGATGGCCTTCCTCTCACAGGCTCTGCACGGTGATGCCGTGCTTGGGGCTGTCACAGAGTCCCCGTGTTAAGAGCGTGTTCCCTAACCAGCTGTGCAGTTACGGCTACGTGACCAACTCCAAGGTGAAGTTTGTCATGGTGGTGGATTCCTCCAACACGGCGCTCAGAGACAACGAGATTCGCAGTGTGAGTGTGGGGGCCGGTGGGCGCGCCTGGCCGCTCGGTTTTCCGTCTTTGTTCAGAAATGCTGAGAAGCCCGAGCGTGGCAGCAGCTGTGTGTACTTGCACGTGTGAATTAAACACGTTGTTGGTTCTTGTTCCAGATGTTCCGGAAGCTGCACAACTCCTACACAGACGTGATGTGCAACCCCTTCTATAACCCGGGGGACCGCATTCAGTCCAGGTGGGCGTGGCGCCTTCTCGGGTAGCCCCCGCCTTGCTGAGAGGCAGCGATTCTGAGAGGCAGGGAGGGAAGGCCTTTATGAGCAACGGGCACTGTCCGTCTAAGGCAGCCATTCTGAAGAGGCAGAACCCTGTTTTTCCAAACAAACTCTTCCTTGGATCTCCAGATCAGGAGAAGGGGAGTTGGGGCGCGGGGGCTGCAGAGCTTGCCCATCTGGTCTCCCAGGTCGGCCCAGCAGGTCCTGGGGCGCCTCCCCAGATCCCAGTGAGGGCCCAGGCATGTGGACAGGAGCCTCCGGGAGAAAACGTCCTCCTGTCGCTGCCCGATTTTGTCTTTGACGTTGAACTTAGACGATTAGGACGTTAGGGTGCAGGTGTCTTCGAAATAGCCTTCAGGTAAACACAGACCTAACATCTGGATGTCACAATGATGCTTCCCAAAGAAGCATTCACGAGCACGTGCTCCAAACCTGCTCTGGGAATTCCCTGCATCCCAGACACAGTTCCCAAGGGGTTCCTTGTAGCCGGCAGGTGACCCCAGCCAGGGAAGATGACCCCTTCCTATGGTGCTTTCCCTCAGTGGTGACAGTGTGTCTTGGGTCATCCTGGGTGCCCCCCCTCTCCCCCCCCGCCTGGAGACCCAGCAAGGGCAGCACTGTGGGAAACCGCACAGGAATGAGGTGGGACACTCAGATTCTCACCGCCTGATGTGGCGGCATGCATGTCCTGGCCTCAGCCAGTTTTACTCACCTGGACCTCAGAGACTGACATCTCTGCCAGCCAGGGATGGAGGGCCTGGGTCTGCTTCTCTGATTGTCTGTTTCTCTTTGCAGGGCCTTTGATGGCATGGTGACGTCCATGATGATACAGGTCTGTTGAGGAGAGCTCTGCAGCCCGTGGCTGGAAGGAATCGTTCTGTGCATAACTGTGTTGTTCAGATGTATCTTTATTTCCACTTGTCTCCTCTTGGGTGTCATGGATGTGCCGCTGGGGGCAGGGCCTCATGCACGGTGCCTGTTGACTAAAGGTCTTGTGAGATCAGGTTTGGCTTTTTCCTTCTGCGTCAGCAGAAGGTTTAACTAAAGACAGTTTAGGGACTTACCTGGCGGTCCAGTGGTTAGGACTCTGCGCCTCCACTGTAGGGGCCGCAGGTTCAATCCCCGGTCAGGGAACTAAGATCCCGCGTGCTGCACGGCACGGCCAAAAAACAGAAGGAGGGAGTTTATGTGGACTTTCCAGGGACAGAGCAGATCAGGGACCAGACAGAGCAGGAGCTGTTGTCCCCACTAGGCACGAAGGGGCAGGGGGAGCCAGGTGGCAGGAGCTCTCAGAGCTTGGAGCCCAGAAGAGGCTGCGAAGGGAGGGGCAGAGGACCCGTGGGCCGGCCGCCCCCTCCAGTGGCTCAGCAGGTGGGCTAATCTGGAGGGGTCGGCCTTCTGTGCCCAGAGCCGGATTAGAGGGGCACGTGGGACGGCCTGCATACCTTCCCCCGGCGGGAGGGCCCTTCCTCCTTCTGGTCTGGCCCGGCCCTGGAAGGCCACCCTCCCGAGACCGTGTAACTACAGCGTCTTCATCAGCTGCTGCTGGGCATCGAATGAGCAAAGTGCAAGAGTCCCCTCCTGCCTGTTAGTGCCCTGAGGTTCCTGAGGGCCCGGGGGCCAGGTGGGTGTTGGAGAGCAGCCCCCTTCCCTGCTGACCCCAGGCCCCTGGGCAGGCTGTGGAAGGAGGGGCTGATGTCATCAGATTTCCGCCTTCTGCTGCCCCAGAAGCCTGCTCAGTCAAGGTTGATCACAGTTCTAACTGACCATGATTGAGGCCACGGCCCCTTCTGGGATCAGGTGACCCAGGTTCTAGTGCACTTTGTCATTTGGTGACGGCGTCTCTGAAGTGGAAAAGGCCCTCCTGGGCCTGAGGCACCTACACAGTCTGCTCTGTGTGGTCTCAGTGTGGCTGGCTTCCTTGATCAGGCACCCTAAGACACCACGAGCCCCTCCTGCCCCCTCAGTCACTCTGGAGAGGGTCTCTGACCAGGAGGAAGGTAGGAGGGTGGCTCAGACCCTCCCACTAGGAGGCTGTGAGCTGTGAGCGTCGTCGGCCCAGGGCTGGAATTGGGATGCACTCTGCTTGTCTTTGGGTTTCCTTCCCTTCCTTTGAGCACAGAAGTAAACAAACAAAAAACAGCTCAGAGTGTGTGTTAAAGACACACGTCCCGGGCTCCCCCCACCCTGCCTCGCCTGCCACAGGTGGAATTGCAAGGCCTAGAAGAGGGCTGAGAAGTGCGACCAGCAGGTGTTGGTCTGATGCAGGCCACCCTCACACGGGCTTTCTCCCCACCGTCCATCCTCAACTTTCTGGTTGAGCTTTTACTTAGTAACCTCTCCTGCCTGAGTGATGGCTGAGGCAGGGACTACAGGTTGCCAAGGCAACATCCATTCTCCCTCGCTTGCGTACTAACAGAACCCTAGTGTTACTGGGGACAATTGGCTAGACAAAGTACGCTTCCTGCCCGCACAAGGGGAGGTGGTCATGGCGTTTAAGTGGATGGCGTTGGGAGGCACGTGCAGGAAGGACACTTAAAAGGGGGATTCAGCTGGCAGTACCTTCATCTTTACCCTTCCTCCTTCCTGGAACTTAGATGTGATGGCTGGAGCCCAGGCAGCTATCTTGAGAGCATGCAGGCAACATTCATCCCCTGAGGATGGAGAGCAGAAAGCTAGAAGGAGGCTGGGTCTTTGCTGACATACCAGCCCTGGACTACTTATGTTCAACATTTTTTTAAATGAGGAAATGAAACCCCTGTCTTGTTGAAGCCACTGCTGTTTGGGTTTTCTGCAGATGGAGCCAGAGCAACCCATAATGGTTTTACACTCGAGGTTCTTCACATGCATCGTCAGGTAGCGTTCCCATTTTAGGTCTGAGAAAATCAAGGCTTAGACGTAACCTGCCGGCCTTTGCTTTGCCAGCAGAACGGTCAGATGGCAGTTTCATCCTAACTGTTTGCATCTCTGTACTGTGAGGCTCGCCTCACTGAGGGCCACCTGCCTGCCCATCCCCATGCACATCCTCCCCACAGGGCTGAGCCCCGTCAGATGCAGCCCCTGCTCAGCCCTTGGCTGCTGCTCCAGGTGCTTCTGCTGAAGTTCTGTCCTCCCTCCCCATCAGCATTCCTTCTCCCTTCTTCCCCGGGCCAGACAGCCAAGAGGATCCTGCGTGTCTTGGCTTTCTCTGGGTATAGCTGAGAAAGTGTGGGTCAGAGCCCTGGACACCCACATGGGCTGCTTGGGCCTGAAATCCACAGGAAAGGAGGGACTCAAGGGCCCACTCTCCTCGCAGTGGCCACGCAGAAGGGATTAAGAAGATACATCTGAAAAGGGACCAATTCCTTGGGATAGAAGCCTGTCTGCAGGTCCTTCCACAAAAGCAAAATGCACAATGAATGCGTCAAGACCAAAGCACAGCCTCGCCAAGGAGGAGACTGGCACAAGGTACGGCGCGGCAGGAGCTGGTGCTTCATAAAGTTCAGCTCCAGGAACTACGTCTGGGAGGCCTCCCTCTCCTGCAGCCCCCAACTGCACATGATCCAGGCCTGGCTCGGCCCTGAGCCACCCAGCAGCCTTGGCAAGGTCCCTGCCACTCAGCCCCTCCTACCCACATTCTCCAGGGGCCAGTGGTGGTGCGTGTGTGTGCGCGCGCGCGTGCACGTGTGCACATGAAAACAGAAATCTATTCTCTCACGTTTCTGGAGGCCAGAGTCAGAAATGAAGGTGATGGCAGGGCCGGTTCCTTCTGCAGGCTCTGAGGGAGGGTCCTTTCGGCCTCTCCAGCTTCTGACGGCTGCCAGCGACTGCTGGAGCTCCTTGGCGTACGGACGCATCACCGCAACCTCTGCCTCTGTCTCCACGTCACGTTCTCCGTGTGCCGGTGTGTCTCGTACCCAGTGTGTGTCACTGGGTTTAGGGCCACCCAGGTGATCCAGGGAGATCTCCAGGTCGTTAGCTTAATCACATGTGCAAAAACCCCTTTTCCAAATAAGATCACATCCACAGGTACTGGAGATTAGGATGTGGACATATTTTGGGGGGGATTTCGTTCACCCCACCACAGGGCCAGTGCTGACCCCAGATCACAAGCGGAGTGTGAACCTGGCCAGATGGACACGCGGATGGAGAGCACAGGCGCGCCCTCCCGAGAAAACACTGGTGCTGGAGAGGGGACACTGGGGACTGGGGACCATCCACCTGTGGATAGCTTAAGGACCTGATAGTCAAAAAAGTACAAGGTGGGCTTCCCTGGTGGCGCAGTGGTTGAGAGTCCGCCTGCCGATGCAGGGGACACGGGTTCGTGCCCTGGTTTAGGAAGATCCCAAATGCCGCGGAGCGGCTGGGCCCATGAGCCATGGCCACTGAGCCTGCGCGTCCGGAGCCTGTGCTCCGCAACGGGAGAGCCCACAACAGTGAGAGGCCTGCGTACCGCAAAAATAAATAATAAATAAATAAATAGTACACGACAGAGAGGGTTGCTTTAGAAAAGCCCAGGCTGAGATCTGTTAGTGGTTATTTAAGGCCAGGACCGCGCGTGTCTGCAGCTGGGCCCCAGAGCTTCCTTTCCCGATCCCAACGCAGTCAAAGGGCAGAAAGCACGCTGCACCATCAGGGAGGGAGAGAGTGGGGCGTCTGCCACAGGGAGGAGCGCAGGCAGGGCGCCCGTCATGGAAGCTCCTCTGCGTCCCTGTGTGAAGAAGCCCAGGCTTGCGCCAGGTGCCCGGGCGCACCCTCCTGCGGGGCCTCACAGGTGAGGACCCACAAGGCGACGTCTGTGTCACTCGTCACGGGGGAGTGTGTGCCCCGGAGGCCACCAGGCCCGGGTGAGGCGCGGGGGCTGGCGGTGACGCTGTAAACCCCGAAGCTAACGCTTGGCTGCCGGGAGTGAAGCGGGTAGAGCTGGGTCTGGGATCCACAGCCGCAGCCCATCCCCCGCCTTCTCTGCACAGTGTGCACCGAGGAAACAGCGTCCAGGGGAGGCGAACAAAGCGGGGCGGTCTGTTGCCATGTGCTTTTTAAAAATATTCAAGTTTAATAATTTATGCTTTACCAGTAAGACACACATTTCTACTTTTCTGTAAAAGGCGTTAGTGGCACAGTCCTGAGTATGCCGCCCCGAAGCTGACCCGACGCTGCCTGGGCCTCACCTGCCCGCAGCTTTGCCCGGTGCCCCCCAAAGCCCCGACTAGCCCGCGTGCCAGGTCCACCCCGTGCCCTGCTTCGCGACCGGCGGCTTCGGCCGTGGGGTCTGGGCTGTCCTCCCGCCGAGGGAAGGGGGACGGATAGTTACTCTGCGCGGAGTAAATGGTCGCACGAGGAGCACGGCTGTCTACTCCTGACCCAGCGGCAGCCCCACTCTCAAAATCGGGCCCTCCCTTCAATACGGTGAATACCACGGCGAGAATCTTCCGCGCCCCCTGCCCGGAGAGAGGCCGGGGGGCGAGCGGCCTCCAGGGCTCCGCCCACCGGACCCAGCCAGGCCCAACAGAGCCCCGCCCACCTGGCCTCGCTCCAATAGGATCCCGCCCTCCCAGGGCCCGGCCCACCGGTTCCGCCCCCGTGGTCTGAACCGGGCCCCGCCCTGGAAGTTGCTGTGGGGGAAGGGTCCCCCCCTGGCGCCTGGGTGTCCCCGAAGGCCCCCGCGGTCCGTGGAGCTGATCCCTGGTAAATTGGTTCTTTTGGGCAGCACCTGGAACCAAAGGCCGAGTCCGCCTGAGACCTCTGTTCTCACACCCTCCTCCCCAGCCCAGGGCCAAGACCAGGGCTAAAGCTGCCTCCAGGAAGCCTTCCTGGGTTTCCCTGCTGAAGGCTCACAGGCAGGTGAACACAGGCCCCAGCACCCACCAGGCCCTGGCGGCCCCAGGGCATGGGGCTGCCTGAGGCATCAGATCTTAACCTGTTCCCAGGCCCTGTCAAGCCAACATCTCCCCCTGCAGGGGGGGTCAGGAAGGAAGCCTCCCCAGGGCTTACACCCAGGCCAAACCCACTGGGGTCTGAGGTGCCCCCACACCAGCCGGAGGATGTGCCCAAACACCGGGCACTGGAGAAGGGTCAGGCTGGTGCGGCTGCCTGCTTTGCCTGTCCCCTCGGGGATTAATGGGTTAACGTAGACAAGCTCAGAGCAGAGCGCTCCCCCCACCCCCCCGCCCCCGCAGTGACTGGTGGGGGACACGCACCTTGATGACCCGGCCTCGGAAGACGCTCTTGTCCAGCTCCACAGCGGCGTGGGCCGAGCTCTCGGTGGCAAACTCTATGTATGCATAGCTGGGGCAGGGCAGAGGCAGGTGAGGGCCACGCTCACCCACGCGGAGGTGTCCCCGCCCCCCGGCGCCCGGCCCCTCCCCGAAGCCCCAACCGACCCCTTGGGGTGTCCGGAGAACTTGTCGCACAGGATGGTGACCCGCTGGATCTCCCCGCAGTGGTTAAAATAGGCCTCCAGCTCCTGGGCTGTGCCCCCGTAGTCCACCTACAGGCATGGACCCTGGTGGGGGGCCTTCTGCAGGGGCCCCTGCCTCCCAGGGTCTCCTGCAGCACGTTTTCTTGCTAGAGAGGGGGTGACTGGGCCCCAGGGTGAGGGTGGTCGCCTAGACCTCTGCGCGCCCCCCTGCCGGGGGAGTGGACTGGATATCCAGATGAATGCTCCCCAAGTTTACTGGCATATGCAAAGGGTGCATGGCTTTTTCAAGTGGAACTCGTTGCCAATAATCTGCCCACTGGGAGATTTCATGTGGAAATTCCAAATCCCAGCCCACAGTGGGAAATCAGGCCTGACCACAGAGGGTCCACGCTCCCTCATGGGGACAGCCCCCTCATCAGAGCCCCCCCTCCTGCTTCTCGCTTCCAGGCCTATGTGGCTTCTGAGTTTGCTACCCATACTGTCCCTTCCTTTAATCCTCACAGCCAGGAGGCGGCTGCAGAGCCAGTGCTGCTGGGCCGACCCCACCTCGCCCCCCTCCCCCCACTCACGTTGCCCACGTAGACGGATCTGTGATCGGCCTCCACCGCCTCCGTGGGGCTGTCTGTGGAGAGAGGGGCTTCAGGACCAGGGGGCTTGGCCTGGCAGGGGCCTCCGGCAGCTGCTAAGGGCAGGCGCCTCACGCTGGTGGCTCAGTCCTCGCTCCTCGGGGAAGAGGGGCACCCGGGTTCTTGGGGAAGAGCACCCCTTGGGGCCTATGTAGAAGGACCACTGCCAGGCCGGACCTCATGGACACCCTGGCCTTTCCCCGGGAGCCCACACGTTTCCTGCAGCAGCGCGCAGCTCAACCGCATTTACCCTCGTGCCCGAGGACTTGCGGGCCACAGCCCAGGGAAGGGGTCAGCCTGGCCCTCTGGTTCCTACCCGTCTCGGGGCTCAGCAGCTTCCCGGCCAGCAGGGCCCTGGCGTCTTCCTCTTCCCCCTCTGGGCCCTGCTCCCCGGGCGGCTCCGGTCGCTGGGCCTGCTCCATGGCCCACAGCTTCAGTCTGATGGCTTCCAGCTCCTGCCAGCACACGGCCCAGGCTGAGCCCGGAGGCGGGACAGCCCCCAGGCTCCGCTGGAGGGAGGGCAGAGGGGAAGGGGGCCTGACCCTGCCTGTTCTCAGGGTCATGCTGGGGGCTCCCTGGGCGGGGGGAAAAGGGAAGACCACACGGACTCTGGCCTGGAGAGAAGCCCCTGTAATCCACCCCCAACACACAAAGTCCCCTTCAGGCCGGAGAGGCCACACTGCCCCTTCCAGCCCGTGCACAGGTGGGCGTCCCTAGACCCTCTTCCAGGCGTGGGGACAGTGGCCCTCTTGGCCCTCTCACCCCTGGGGTCAGAGCTGCAGCCGTCCGTCCCCCTGCCCCCATGCACAGCGTTCCCCAGGTTCCCGAGATCCCGGCCGGCCTCCACCAGGCGCTCGGCGCCGCTGTTACCTGGTCAGCTAACGGGCACTCGGCCAGGTCCCCCCTCTCCAGGACAGACAGCAAGAAGCCTGCGTCTTCCTCGCGCTCTTCCGCTTCCCCCGTCTCCTCCTCCTCCGTGTCTCCAGCCCCCGGGCCCAGAGGGCTCTTCTCGGCCTGGCTCCAGGCCCCCCAGCCCTGGGCCTCGGGGTCTGAAGAAGCCCTCCTCAGCCAGGCCTCAGTGGGGGGCGGGAAGAGAGCGCGGCTGAGGAAGGGCCACATGGCGGATGGGGCAGGAGGGGCCGGCAGAGCCTGCGCGCTCGCCTCCACGCTGCCTGCCGGCACCTGCCTGCACCCTCCCAGGCTTTAAGCCCTCCCCCAGGCCAGGTGTTCCCACTAGAGGCCTCAGAGGCCTCCCGGCTGCGCCAAGCCTCCACCCTGGCTTCCGAGCCCTGAGGGGTCAGAGGCTGGACCCCCGCCCCGGTGCCCTTCTTCCTCACTGGCCGGCCCCTCTGGGACACTCCAGGTGGAGAGGGTGCAGCTGCGGCACAGCCGGGAGGGCCTCCTGGCGACAGCTCGGCCTCACCCGCCACGATGCAGGAGCCAGGAAGCTAAGGGGTCGCAGGTCCCCCCCACCTCGCTGTGTCACGCCTCCAGTGGCCGGCCACGGTTAGGATGACGCGGGGGGGAAGCAAGTTACCTGAGTGTGCAGAGCACGGGTGGGGCACAGGGGGTCAGAGCAGACTTCCTGGAGGAGGTGGCATTTGAGCCGGCCTTCAAGGGTTGGGTCAGGCAGAGCCGGGTGAGCGTGGCCTGGGTGGAGGAAACAGCTTGAACAAAGGTCGGGGGGGGGGGGGTAGGGGAGTGCCACGAGGTCAGCGGCTTCTCGGGCCGGGCCAGGGCAGGGTCCTGGGCCAGAAGGAGTGACATCCCTCCTCCTGACCTCTCCTGGATTCCCTGCGGTCCCTCCCCTCCCCACCCCAATTCTGGGCCAGCTCTTAGGTGGGAACCACGTAACGAAGCCGGGTCCCTGCCCGGGCCGCAGGGCACGATGATGAATTCTGTGCAGGTCACGCCTGGATACTGGGGGCCTCAAGGCAGTCTGTCAAGTCCCGCCCCATTCCTCTCTCTCCCCCAGGGCAGCTGCAGGCCTGTGTCCCTGGGTGCCCTGCTATCCTCCGTCTGTCCTCCCTAGCAGCTGCTCTGGCCTCTTCTCCCCCTGGCGTCGTCTTGGGGGAGCTCCTGCCATGCCTTTTCCATCCTGCTGACGTGTTTATGGGGGGCCCTTCTGGGCGCGTGTGCCCACCCAGCCCACATCCCACCCTCCAGACCATTGCTGGTAGGGTCTCTTCCCTGGGAATGTGGAGTTGGGGGAGGGGAGAGTTGCAGCCTGTGAACGAACCCTGGGGGCCGTGGATGGGGTACGAGGCGTGCGCCCTGGAGGGAAGTGGGGGCCGCCGTGGCTGCCTTTCTCCTCCCGGCTCTGTTCTCACCTCCGTGGAGGCTGAACCCCCCCGGGCCCTGCAGGGAGAGGAGCCGGCCTGAGTTGGCCGTCAGCCTGCAGGCCTGGCCTCCCAGCTCCCGGCCCTCCTTGCCTGCAACACCCCCTTCCCCCCACCCCCCACCCCCGGCCGCACATGGCTTCATGCACTTGCATGTGTGAGGCTCCAGGGGACACTATTCTCACTATGCTGCTGCTTCCAGGAAGCCTTCCCGATTGCTCCATCTCCCCCTTGTGGCCACGGTGCCCGGGCCTCACCCTCTGTCTGACCTGTGTAAGTTACACGTCCCCAGGTCCTTTCCGGATGGCCAGAGTGCCTCAAGGGCAGCACTGAGGACAGGGCCCCAGCCCAAGGCTGGCTGGATGAGGACAGAAGTGCGGCTGCCGCGGGTCTTTCTCCCATGGTTCGGGGCAGTCAGGCCCCCTCTCCTGTGGGCCGAGACCCCACGGAGGGCCCCTCGCCCAGGCCCTTCCCTCTACCTCCAGGTGGGAGGCGGGACACCAGGGCGGCTGAGTCCAAGCCAAGGGCCGGCTGGACTCGGGCCCGGCCCGGCCAGCCTCCCTCTGAGCTCAGACCTCTGCAATGGAAAATCGCCGTCATCCCCTCTGTGCCGGGACTGCTGACACACCAGGCCCGGCTGGGGCGCCGGCCAGTTGCCTGGCGTGCGGACAGGCTTGCCCCCATGCTGGCCTTTCCAGTGACGCCTTTCAAAATACACCATGTTCCAGGCTGGGCCCGAGTATTAATAACACCTCTTTCCTCCCAGGGGCCACCCGTGAGCCCAGAGCCCTAGCCCTGCACACCCACTAGGGGTGGGACCTGCCCTGTGAGCCGGGACACCACGTCTGGGACACCCTGGCTCCTCAGGGTCTTGTGGGAGGTGCCCACGTGGCCACAGGCAGGGGGGGCTCGAGCCCTTGAAGCCACGAGTGTGTCATCTGGGGTCCGAGGTCGTCCTGACCACCTCAAGGACACAACCTTCGAGAGTTCACCCCACTTGGCCGGAACTCAGGAGGCAGAGGTCATCCGCCACGTCCCGCTCACGCCCCGACCCTGCACTACACGTTTGTCCACCCCCGTGGCGTGGTGCACCCCCTCTTGTCCCTCCTGCCTGTCACCGAGAAAGCCCCCCAACACAAATCTGGTGAATCAGTGTGTGAAACGGGCTTAGGCGGAGTCGCCGGGGACCCAAGGAGAGGCGGAGCCCGTGATGGTGAACGGCGGCTTTATTCCATGACACAGAACCCACGCGGCCGTGAACAGAGAGATGGGGGGACACGGGAGGGCGGCCACCAGGACCCTGCCTGGCACCGAGGAATGTGACCCAGCACTCTCGGTCCAACCCCTCTGGGGGAATTAAAAAATAAAATCACATGAAGAGGAAGTGGACAGTCAATCCATTGCCCACGAGGCTGCCCGAGCCCCTCGGCCCACGGAGGCTGGCCTGGCTAGGCCCCCCTTGTCCTTCATTCTAACGTTTAAAGCCAGGCTCCCCTTGAGTCCCGACGTCAAGTTACTGCTCTAAGGGGTCTCTGGGGAGGCACTCCAGGGTCTGGCTGAATTGAAGCAAAAGCAACGGGAAGCAGGCAGATTCCAGAGTTTTCTGGAACGCCGGGGACTGTGCAGGTGGCTGCCCAGACAGCCGGCTCCCCGGGCCTCACCTGTGCACCGTGTCCAGGCTCGCTGCAACCTCTTCTTCCTCCTCTCCTGCCAGCAGGAGGTGATCCCGCGGGGGGCGCAGGAAGAGCCCCGTAGGTCGCGGGAGCCCACAGGCAGGCGTGGGTCTGAGGGGCCCAGGGAGAGCCGGGGCTGGGAGAGTGTGCTGCGCCTCTAGGGCCACAGGGACACCCACCCCACGACCCCTGGATGGAAGACGGGCATAGGGGTGAGGCAGAGCCGGGCATGAGCCCCCGGGAGCAGGGGCTCCAGGAGTACTGGCGTCTTAGGGAGGCCAGCACGGGGCTCTGTCTTGCCCCTCCCTTCCTGGGGACACCTCCAGGCAGTGACCCCTGGTGACAAGGAGAGGAGTGGCGCCAAACCGCAATGTCTGGGACTTGCCAGGGAATGTGCGCTCCCCGACTGGTGGTCCCGGTCACAGGGCCCCTGAGCAGCTGTGCGGGCCACCTCTAGCGCCTCTCCTGGCCCACGGCTACCACACTTGCTAGGCGGGCCCAGACTGGCCAGAGCTGTTGCTGGGACATTGGTCCAATCTGCCCACGTCTGCAGCAGAACCTTATCTGTCCCGGCAGCAGGCCTGGACCAATGGGAGGGGCACTGGGAGGGGGTGGCCAAGGCCACAGGGGACCCGAAGCACCCCCACGGCTTTGGATCACTGAGGGAGTTGGTGACGCTACACTGGGTTCTGGCTGGGGATGGACTGAGGCGTGGTTGTGTGGGTTAGATGGGAGACACATGTGTGGTGTGCAGACAGGTGGATGGTGAAAGGATGAACGGGGGACCAAGTGATAGCTGCGATAGAGAGTGGATGGATGGGTGGATGGACAGATGGGTGAGTGGACGGATGGATGAGTGACTGGATAGATGAATGGATGGGTGGGTGGATGGATGAATGGCCAGAGAGATGACAGGATTGGCCAGAAGGGTGAACTGATAAAAGAATCAACAAGTAATTGTAGGTAGGCTGAAGGGACGGGCAGGATCATGGCCAGACAGACACGCTGCAGTGAGCTGGGGCAGGCAAGGTGGGTGGCGCCAGGGACTGGACTTTGGTGTCATTTTGAGGATGTATTTGGAGAAACTGGCAAATAGGAGGAAGTTACGGCCTGTCCCGATCCCTCTCCACGGTGTCACTGGGATGAAACCGGAAACAGCGCTCCCTCCCACCCGTGTCCCTCCGCCACTGAACTTCTCGGGCCCTGATGAGCAGCCCGACAGGGCGGCCCCTTCCCGGGAGGCAGGCTCCTCTTGCACTACGGCCCTTACCCTCCTGGCCCCAAGGCTTTCTCCAGCTCTCCTCTCTGCCCTGGTAGCACCCAAGGCTTTCCTTTGGTCCTGGGGACGGGAACCCTCGTGATGCTGACGGGGTCTGGGGTGTGCCAGCCTGTCCACACGGGGAATGGTAGGCTCTGGTCTTTGTCAAGAGAACACCCCCCAGACACCACCCCCTGGGGACAATGACACGTCCTAAGAGGAAGAGAGGAGGGGGTGGGAAAGGTCCAAGGCTCACACGTCAGGGCGCTTTCCACCGGGGGTGAGGGGACCCCGGCGCCAGCATCTGCTGTCCCAGCCTGTGCATCTCCCTGACTCGGCCCTGTGGGCCGGGAGCTCCGGCCGCCACCTGCCTCACTCTGCCCTCCTGCGGCGCTTTGGCCTCAGAACAGGGTAATGCTGCCGTTTGGGTTGGACTTGTGGGGGGGGGAGGGTCTGCAAGCAGCCGCATCTCACCGAGCTTGGGCTCACCAGCGGGTCCGATCTCGGCCCCTGGGGAAGAGACCCTCACGTGCACACCGACGGCCCACAAGCTCGGGAGGTAGCAGGGCAGGCCGGCCTCTGAGCTGGACCCCCTTCTGTCCAGACGCCCTCTTTGCATAAGGCAGGCAGGGCGAACACAGACCACCAGCAGCTCCAGCTCCGGCCGCCCCCCCACTCCCCGACCAGAGCTACTCATTGGGAGTTTGCCTTCTCTGTGAGCACTTTGGCCAAACAGGGCCTGCGCACAGCGACCAACAGACATGCCGGCTCCCAAAGCACGGAAGGGGCCCTGGACGGAAGGAGCCACCTGCTTGGTGTGACCCAGCCCACACCCGGCATCCGCTGACACGTCGCCCCCGGGGACACCCCCTCCCGCCCGCTCTGGGCCTCAGCCTCCTCGCTGCCAGCCCCGCCCACCTGGCTGCCACCCTCTGACCCTGCGGACCCTCTCTGCTGGCAGGCTACGTCTGTCGGCCTCTGGCCGGCCCCTCCTGCCAGGCTTCTGTAGCCCTGGCCAGAGGAAGGTCTTGGTATATGAGATACAGGTATGGGGGTCACACAGGGAAGATGGCCTTTCCTAGCTGGCTTGAGGCGACCTCTTCCCAACAGCTGGGGTGGAAGGGGCCGTCCCCACCTCGGACCCTCAGCCTGTGGTCCGGCCCTGCAGGCTGGTCTGGCCCGATGGCACCAGCTGGCCAGCCCTGGCGCGCCTGCCTGAAATCAAAGGGGACCCTGCGAGGGGAAGAGGAACAGAGGCCGGCAAAGCACACCTGCGGGGCTGCAGGTGAGGGGCTCCTCCCAGCCAGGACTCACCCCGCAGTCCTGACATCAGGGCCTCAGACCTCCACACCCACACCCCAGCGCGCCCAGGGGGCCACCCTCCACCGGCACAACCTCGTGGGAACGGAGTCCGAGGGGAGAGGCGGGGCTACGTCACAGCACGTGCACAACCGCCCTTCTGACAG